TTCTTGTGCAGTAACAGTTAACAGCTTTCTAATGGCAACATTGTACCTTTTCCCTTAAACCAGTGGGTTTATCTAAATCTGTCTATTTGAGCCAGTTCTGCCCCACCGCAGACAGGGAGTCCGCGCTTCTGTCCTCTTAGGACCCAAGTGAGTGATTTTCTTTTGTGCCGGAGGTGCAGTTTCAGGAGGCTGCAGCCGAGGACGGATGGGGTGGCCCAGGCCCGGGCTCCGTGGCTCCCAAACCATTTTCCAAGTGCGTTTGGTTTAATAAAGCACCAAACACTAGGCAAGCTCTGCAGGCACTTTTTCCACTCGTTTGAAACCCCAGTGAATTTCAAGGGGAATTTGGTGCATGTGCTTCTGATTCATCAGTCAGCCACCAGGAGGCTGTGTCAGAGCGTTTGATGTCCGGCAGACGGCCACCGTTTACGAGCCGCTGAGCCTTTTTTCTACTTAGAGAAGGAGAGGAACTGGCACGTCGCCAAAGTGTAAATGGTCGTGAGCCCTCGGCGACGATGCCGTTTCCCACCCCACACCCGTGGGTGCGGGGCCGCCAGGAACCGGGACAGACCAGCCCCAGGAGCCGCGGGCGGCGGGTGGGTGGCCATGCACTGGGAGGCGGATGCTGGTGGGCACCGACCCCCCACCCGGCTCTCCTCCACCCGGCCCTCAGCTTGCCAGCCAGCCAGCGACCCTTCGGGGCACGTTTAACAACTGGCAAAACAGACGGAACAAAACCCACCATTTGTGCCACCGTTAGCGGCACAGCTCGGTGGCCTAAGCACAGTCACGCTGGTCACCACCAAATTCTTCACCCTCCCCACACTGAGCCCCGGCCCAGCCACAGCCCCTGCGACCACCGCCTGTCTCTGTGGTCCTGACCACACGGGGGGGGGGGCCGTCCTTTCGTGACCAGCTTCCTCCAGAGCGACAGCCTGTGGGTGCACCTGTGGCAGCCTGTGCGGCAGTGCCCTTCCTCTGCAGGCCGAGCGACCCCGTCCTGTGCGCACCGCGTTTTCTCAGCCGCTCCTCTGCGGTGCCTGTTTGGCCTGCGGTCCGTCGCGGCCGGCACCGGGCAGGTGCTCGGAGCGTCCCCTCTGGAGACCTCGGGCTCCGGAAGAGACCTGAGCAACCTGCCTGGTCCTGGGCGCCCCGGGGGGCACAGAGGCAGGGCCTGGGGGCGCGAGGCCCCTCTGCGGTGGCAGGTCCTGCAGCCACGCCCGCGCGGGCCGAGAGAGGTCCGGTTGTGATGCTGGAAGGTTCAGTGGCAACTGGGAAATCACAGGGCCTTGCTGTCCTGCCACTGGGGCCCGTCACCACTCCCGAGTGACGGGCTGACCCCACGTGCTGCTGCCTTTGGTCCTCACGATGGGGCAGCGGCTCAGGCTGCGGGGCCGGGACAGGCCTTGGCGGACCCTCCTGGGTGGTGCGATGGGCTGGGTGGCCTGGGGTCACGGCAGGGGGGCTGCTGCCGGGTGGGACGTCCTCCCAGGCCCCACAAACGCACGGGCTGGACATCGCCCGCCACAGACTTCTCCCTGTCCCTGCCACACCCGGCTTCCTCTGCGCACCACATGGGCCCCGGGCTGAGGACAAGTGTCCTGCAGGGGGGTGTCCCAGAGCCCACATGGCCTGGTGGGGGGAGGGCAGTGCCCGGGGAGCAGGGCGGCCTCTGGGGGAAGGTTCTGAGCGTGGCCGCCCTGGCCGCCCCGCTGACCCCGAAGGCCTCTCGCCCCGACACTGCGTCCATGTCCGCCCAGAGGCCTCTCTTGTGCCCAGGCCCCACGACACACAGCTCGCCCACGGCTCGCGGGCCCCGCGCTTCCTGGGCCGCCCCAGCGCACCCCTGCGCGTGCTCCGGGGTGCACGCATGGACTCACACCGAGGGCTCTGGGTTCTGTCCAGCCCACCCTGCTCACACGCTGACCCTGAGACCGGGCGTCTGCACAAACGCTCACCAGGCCAACAGAGGGGCCGGGAGCTCGGTGCTCCCTCAGCCCACCAGCTCTCGTCCGGCTGCCACTTGTCACACGGTGGGGGCTTTGAGAGGGCACCCGCGGCGCGTGCGCAGCGCTCATCCCAAGGCAGCACAGACACAGCTGCCACCAGTCTGCTCTGGAAACCTCAGCGGCCCCCAGGTGCCTCCAGGGGCTCAGACCAGAGGGATAGAAGGAAGAGCCCACGGCAGGGACCAGGGCCAGGTGCAGCCAGTGAGTGAGAGCCCCCGGTGGCCCTGGCGAGTGTCCACGGAACCCGCCCCGATGGTGGCAGGCTGCCACAGGGGTCCCGGGGCTGGGGGACAGGCTGTTCGCTTCGTGCTGGTGGCCAAGGAACCAGCCAGACCGGAGCAGGAGCCTCTCCCGGCCCAGAGAGAGAGGCCGGGTCCCAGCCCGTGATGGCGCCGTGTGGGGAGGGGCCTCGGAAGGGCAAGTTCGGGCGTGGGCCTGACAGCCAGCTGCCTCTCGGCTCTGGTCTGGGGGACAGTGGGGACCATCGTGCCCCGCCCCGGGGGCCCCAGGGCTGTTCTCAAGATGGGGCTCTGCTGGCTCCCCAGTGTCGGCCAAGTCAGGACCCTCCTCCTCGGAAGCCACAGAGAAACTGAGTCCCAGCCACAGGCTGCGAAGGATTCAGGAGAGAAGGACTCAGACCATGTGGACCTGGTGCCCAGGGCCCAGGGCGGACTCTGACCGGCTGGTCTGTGTGCGGACAGCGCTGCCTGTGATGCTCTGTGGAGCCCTGGGCGCACACCACCGACGCATGCATGCAGGTGAACTTCCCCAGAGCCTGTCCCTCGGCCGTGGGGACGCCCCCTGGACCCGGGCACTCAGCAGCCCTGAAGTGGAAGCGGCATCCTGGTGCTCGGCTGCTGACGCGCCTGTGCCTGCAGCTGAGGAACGGGGCACCTGGGCTGGTAGGGAATGTAAGGACCACTACAGTACCCAGCGGTCACCCACCGCCCTGGGCAGCATGGGGCCCCCCCAGGGCCAGGTCCACCCGGAACCTCGGATGGGTGGTGTCTGGAGACAGCCACTCACTCATCAGGACGAGTGGGTCTTGGAGAAGGGTGGGCCTGGGTCCAGGGACCGGGTGTCCTCGTGCTGCCAGGGAAAGAAAGGACCGCGGACCCACAGGAGGCAGCAGCACCCGTGGGGGTGTCCCCCAGGAGGACCTGGGGACCCAGAGCCGCCCGTGCTCCCTATAGGTATGACCCTGACACTGTACATACCCGAGGAAGGTGGGGGTTCCCTGATGTGAGCAACCCGGCCCAGCGAGGTCACGGGCCTGGGGTCCGGATCTGGGCGGTTCCCACATCTCCAGTGCCCGTGGGCCAGGAACCAGCCTGGAGCCCAGCAGCCAGCTGGTTATTTCTTGGCTTCTAGCGCCACCTGCTGGAATCCTCTGCAATTACAGCCGGTGGCGCCCAGGTGTTTCCTGTCCCTTCTCACCTTGTCCTCACTCACTGCCCCTCAAGTGTTTTCTGAGGTGTCCTGTGACTGCCACTGAGATGAGACGAGGCCAGCCCCACCCCGCCCCCTGCTTCCTGTTCCTTTGTGTCCATCCAGCCGTCTAGTCCACTCCAGACACTGAGATCAGGCCCTGGGATACTTGCTCAGCCGTCCCTTCCTCTCTGAACTTGTCCCGGTCCCCTAGTTCACACCCCTGCCCTCCACCAGTCACTCCCAAACGCGCTGCAGTCAAACCCAGTGACCTCAGCCCACTGGTGGTCACGGGCCAGCCCACGCGGGTCCGCACGGAACCCCTGGTGCAGACGCTGCCCACCCTGCCGTGTGCCCTCCTGTCACCTCCCCCTGCCGTGTCCCTGCCCCCCAGCTTGTCAGTCACGGGGGAGCACCCACAACCTTGGGTGAACATGCACCAGCCCCCGTCACCCGCTCGCGCCCTCTGGACCCCAGGTTGGTTTGCTTGTCACGTCTGGACGGCAGTCGCCACCCGGAGTCCTCCTCTCCGCGGAGCGCCCTCACCTGCCGCACGGCCCCAGTCCTCAGCCCACCGCGGGGTCTACGGCCTCCCTGCCCGGTCCTTCCGCACCCCAGACGGCCTGACTCCCACCCTGCACGGGGTGATGGGGAAGATGGGAACCTGGTGCCCAGGGACAGTGTGAGCAGTGGCCGCATGGCCCCTTCTCCAGTGGAGCTTACAGCAGACGAGGGACACAGGGACAGTCAAACTACTGAAATGTCCATCCCAGACCCACAGGTGGAAACAGGATCCAGGTCCCACTGGGCTGCAGCTGCCCAGGCTCCCGGCCCTCAGAGCAGGGACAGCCCTTGGGCAGGCAGCTCAGGGGCTCAGGCCACTGCACAGCGACACCATGTGGGCGGTGTGGGGAATGGCTCCAGCTCCAGGCTGCTGGGCACCTGGTGTGGGGGCTCAGATTGCAGCTGAGAGCCTGTGCTGTGGCCGAGAGCAGGAGCGCCCCACCCCAGCCCAGCCCTGCCCTCCCGGGGGACTGGGGGGCCGTGCGAAGATAAGCTGAAGGGCTCCAACACAGCCCAGTGGCCTGGTGCGAGGCTGCAGCTTCCTGCTTAGGAAGAGTCTGCACGTCCGACCGACCAGCTGAGAACCCCGGGGCTCCTGGGAACAGCGTGTGGGACGTGGGGGCCGGGGTCTGGGAGTGGGCACTGACTCCTGGCCCCTCGACAGCGACGGGTCGGTCAACAAGAGCAGGGAGCTGCCTCCCGGAGGTGGGCCAGCAGCTTGGGGACGGGCCTTCCTGCATATGGTCACGAGTGCGTGTGCGTCAGCAACCAGAGCAGCCAGGAAAGCCAGAGACCGGGTGCCTGGTGCTGTGGCTCGTGAGTTCACAGGGCGTGGCGTCCAGACGTGGACGTGGCTTTGCAGTGATGTCACACGTGTGAGGACAGGACCTTAAACACCAGTCCCCCAACAGCAATGCCCCTACGTAACCGCAGCTGCCGCGGGGCGTGGTGGAGCAAGACCGCCCGCCCGTCTACCCGGAGCCCTGGACGCATGCGCAGTGGCCTCAGCCTGGGCTTTATTGGCCGAGCCGGGAAGACTGTCTGCGTTACAGCAGAGAAGGAAGCTCTTGTGTGTTGGGAAGCTGCAGAACATCAAACAAGCTTCTGTTTCAATCTTCAGAAACCAGGGCGAGGGGAGTGCATTATAGAAACAGAAGCTGGTCCAATGTGAAAATGAAATTTTAGAAACAGCAGGGACCGGGACCGTTGCCCTGCCTGGGCGCCACGCCCACAGTGGTGTCCGCTCAGAACGCTCCTCGGGCTCCATGCGCTCGCTCTCCTGTCCCAGGGGCCACTGCACAGAGGCCCCTGGGGACCCATGGTGCCGTCAGGGCTGGAGCTAGGACGTCAGCTTGGAGTAGCTGGGCGGGGAGAGCTTGCGCTTCAAGTACTTAAGGACGTAGAGCGGGAGGCAGCTGACCACGGTGACAGCCGACACCTTCCACACGAAGGCCACAGTAGTGATAAAGGCCACGTCTGCAGGGGAGAAAAACAGGAGGGCGTGAGAGGCAGGCCAGGAGGGAGGCCGCAGGGCCCACCTACGGTGAGCCCCCGGAGGCGCTGCCCGACCTTGGAGGCAGCCGTCAGTCTTTCCCTGTGCACCAGATGTGACGGACTCCCCTGAGAGGGACTGTGCAACCTCAGCGGGGCCTTGGACAGGCCCAGACCGTCGGGCCCACCTTCCTGCCCTCAGGAGCACCTGGAGTGGCTGCAAAGCAGGGCCACCACAGCTCCTCCTTCCTGTGCCTCGGCCTCGGGGGCACAGCAGTGCTGCGGGGACCGGCCCTCTGAGGCCCGGCACGTGGAGAAGAGAAGGTCCGAGGCACCGGCCTCTCCCAGGGCAGGGGCCCCTCAGACTGCTGAGTCGGGACAGGCCCTCTTGGCAGGAGACAGGGCTCCGAGGCACGGAAGAGTCGTAGAGAAGACACCAGCCTGCGTGTGGGGTGTCAGCGAAAGGACCCTAAGGACGCGGGGTGCGGCCTGCACTGGACCACGCTTTGGACATCCTGACCGCGTTTCCCAGGGCTCAGCACCCCCATCACAAAAAGGCAAAGATGTTGCCGGGAGGGATCAACTGGCGCCTGACGGATGCGGACCTGGACCCTCGTCAGCAGACCTGCACCTGAACACCCCCGACCCCGGGGCACAGGACTTGATGGGGTGGGGGGAGCACCTTCCCATGGGGGCAGAGGCGCAGTGAGGCAGCAAGAAACCAGGTTAGGGGGAGGCTGTTCTTATCGGTTGAGAATCTCAGCCAACACCGTCCTACACTTGTCCCCCTGACAGGAGCGTTGACCTCACCTCCCCGGGACAGCTCCGTGAGACACCCTGCCCTGGCCTGTCTGGAAACCGCAGTGCGCAAGCCACGGAGGACAGGGCGTGAGGGCTGCTGGGGGCGCGGCTGTCAGCTGACCAATCAAGAGACACCCGGGAAGCAGCCACGGCGACGGCGACGGGAGCCCTTTCCAGGTGGGACCGCAGGGCGGTGGTGAACCTCCGCAGTTACAGCGGGGACGGCAGAGGGACTTCGTCTCTGAGGCAACACGCAGGCGCATCTGCCGAGCTCCCGACAGCCCAGGAGGCATTTGTCCGAGTTGCTCACACACATTTAAACTGATGAGTCAGTCGAGACTGTGCGTCGCCAGACCGGCCCTTTGACGAACAAACGGGACTGCGTGTCCAGTTTACAGAGGAGGAGACCAGGTCCAGCAGGTCTGGGTCCCTCCCCTGTGGCCACGCGACGTGCCTCGTTCTCTGGTGACTGGGTTCAGCCAGGTCCACGCTTCCTCGGTTTCACGACAGACGCAATGTCTGCACTTTCGTTCCCGTGTTTTGCTTTGTTCTCCGTGTTTGCTCCCGAAGGACCCCCGCAGTTGAGCGGCTGAGTGCGGTTTGGGCAGGAAACACACTTGTGCACCCCCCCCACCCCGAGCGACGAGGAGCAGCTGTTTCAGGGGGGGCCCGACTGTCTGTGCGGCGAGTGCCCCTCTGACACAAGACGGGAGCCCTCCGCACGGGTTCCCACCCACGTCCACACTGCCGAGGACACATGGCCGAGGACACATGGGGACAGGATGTCGACGGCCCGGGCTCTGCTTTCACTACAGGACTCCCTCCACTTCTCTGCCACCTGTCGTGTGGGGACTCCCCCACCCAGAATTCATTTCGTAACGACCCACAAAGAACTGCAGGTCAACACAGACGTTCCGCAAGGACCTCACGGCGCCCCGCTTCCCGACTCCCCAGAAAGCTGGCCTGGGGTGTCGCCGGGACCTCGAGCGCGTCCGCCGCAGGCTGAGCCCCTGCCCCCCGCTGCGGCCACGGCACAGCCCAGAGGTGGTCCTTTCCCACGGGCGGGGCTGCTGGTGGGGTTTCTCCAGCCCTGTCCCGGAGGCCTCCTGCGCTTCGCAGTGCCTGTGACCTGTCTCTCTGGGCTGGCTCAGTGCACCTGTGGGGCTGCTCAGGGCGTGTTTTCTCGTCTGAGGCCTCCTCTGGCGTGGCAGACACAGCTCACGCCTCCTTCATTCATTTGGGCTTGTTTGCTCCAGGATCACGACGTCCGTGTGGGGCCGCGGGCTCCTCAGTTGCCGGGTGACCCTGCCGTCCCACACGACGACCCTCAGGAAGACAGCCCCAGCTGGCAGAGGGGTCTGGCCCCGGCCTGTCCCCGTTTGGATGCCCGGTGGGGTCTCCTGCTCCGGAGAATTCTGCCGGGAGACAGGCCTCTCCAGTCCCCTCGCAGCAGCACAGTGCACGGCGCTCGCAGCAGGCACCTGACACGCATCACGTGAGCTGGCGTGAAGGGCTGACGTTTCTCAGTGGGGAGGCAGATGGCGGCGGAAGTCCCGGGGCCCTCGGACTGAGCGTTGGCTCAGTGGCCACAGCGGACCCGGGAGCTTCCAGCGATCAGTGACCTGGATGCTGCCGTTTCCGCAGGAAGTCGCCGGCCTCCCTCGGGGTCCCAGGCTCCCTGCACCACGGTTGCTGACGTGCCATCGGGACGAGGGGCTCTTGATCTTGGACCGGGAGGGATGTGGCCTGCTGTTCCCAAGCAGCCAGAGTTCTGCTTCGAGGGCGCACCTCCGTGCCCCACCCCTGGGGACCTGGGGACAATGCCGCCCTGTCTCACGGTCACATGCCTTCTCCTCCCTCAGCCTGATATACAGACCTTGGAGTCTCAGGCAGTCCTGCGGGCACTGGCATCAGTTTGGGGGGTGACAGGGGGAAGTCACCCCCACCCTCTGGCCCCAAAGCCCTGAGACTGGTGGGGAGGAGAAAGGGGCGGCTTTGATCAGGCAGGTGAGGGCGGGTCAGAGGGAGATGGAGGACGGTCACGTGCCAGCCAGGCCTGGGCAAGGGCCTGTGACGGACAGTCGTCCCTGACAGGCCACCCAAGGGGTGACAGTGACGGAGTGGCTGCTGGGAGGAGCACGCAGACGGCCACCACCCGACCCTGTCCAAGGCCACGTCACTGTCGGCTCTCGCCCGGCGCCACGTGTCGCCTGGCTGTGGCCGGAAGAGTTGGCCGGCGCCTGGGTGTGGGCGCCCTGGGGTGCCTGGCGCAGAGGCCTCCACGTGACATACGCAGCGTCTCTGTCAAAGCCAAGACAGAGGGTATCCGAAGTTAAACTGATCACAGGGCGTCGACCCCCCTCCCCGGTAAGACCGTGTGTTTGAAGCTTTCTGGTGTGCGTTTTACAGTGACCTGTGATTGCAGACGACGTGTGGACAGTGACGATAAAAACCGTTCAGAAACCTCTGACAGTTAGTTATCCCAGGCCACTCACCGAAATACTCGTTCAGGAAAGCGAGTGAGGCCACGTAGCAGCCCAGGCTGAGCAGCTCGGCCACGACCATGAGCCAGTGCCACGTCCGCACGGTCAGCGCCACCATCAGCAGCTCGGTGAGGACGAGGGCCGTGAAGGAGATGGCCACGACGTGGACGAACTCCGCCTCGAAGAGCAGCAGGGCCCCGTACATGAGGACGCCGCCTGCAACACAGCCGGGCAGGCGCTCGGGCCACAGCTCCGGGGTCCGGGCTGGGAGCCCCCGCCACTGCGGCAGCGAGACGGGGAGGAGAGGCTGCCGACAGCCATGGCCCTTGGAGACGGCGGGGGGGGGGGGCTCGGCCCACCCCATGCTCCCCACTGACTGACACTCGATTGTAAATAAAACACCTGCAGGAGGAGCCGCCCCCACCTTGCCGAGTAACTTCGTGTTTCCATGTGGCCGGTCGGCTCGGCCTGGTCCTCACACCCTGGGTTGTCGAGAGTGCAAACCGGGCACCGGCAGCTGCCGACGTCAGATTTGGACTCTCCCAGCCCTGCTCCCCGCTGGCCCCTGAAAGCACCGTGTGGTGCGTACCCGTCACAATTTCCCTGGACTTACATTTAATTAAAAACAGGCCAGTTTTTAAGTGACGTTCATCAGTTACAAGAAGCGCCGCCCCCGCTGCCCTGTGAAGAGGCTGGAAGGCCCGCTGCTGGAGCAGGGTCTCTGGGGTCAGAGGCCAATTCAGCCGGGGGCGGGGTCTAAGGGGCAGATGCAGGCAGTGCTGCCGGCAGAAGTCAGAGCCTCTGCCTCTTACCTTGGTAAATGCTGATCACAACCCAGACGAGGAAGGTCTTGAAGGACAAGGATCTGCCCTGTGGGGACAGGAGGGAGCCTGTCAGCACCGAGCACCCAGGGGCTCAGGGGCTCAGCCTGGTGGCCCCCCAGCTCCCTAGACACCATCCTGCCGGGGCCGGAGCCCGAGCCCAGCCCGAGGGGGGAGGTGGGCGTGCCTGCGAGCACAGAAGGAGCCCAGGGAATGGCGGCCCTGACGCAGCCAGACAGAGGTCAGAGAAGTGAGGGCTGCTCACAGGACACGGTGCCACCTGGTGTGAGAGGTCGGGGACGCGGACGGGAGCGCATGCTGCCACTCCCAAGCGTCACTGAGCTGTGGCTTGTTTCTTGTCCCAGTGGTGAGACCCTCTCCAGGCCCCACTGCTGTGGTCCTGAGAGGTGGGCTCAGCCCTGGGGGTCCTGGGAGCTCTTGGGGTGGCTCCAGGTGTCCCTTCCGGGCACACGAGTGAAGACCCTCGTCTCTGGGGTGCACGCTGGCTTCCTCCTGACTGCGTCCTGCCCAGCACAGCTCTGGCCTCACCTGTCCCCGGCTGCCACGAGCCACTCCCGCGTCCAGGCTCCCCGTGAGGTCCCTACTATAGGCCTGGCCACAGACTCAGAGCGACTTGGGTCAGAGTCAGCTGCCTCCACCCCCGCCCGACCCCGCCAGTGTGGAGATGCTTTGTCCCCTCCTGCATTCCATCCGTCTGTGGGTCCGTCTGTGGGTCCTCTTCCCGAGTCTGACCGGCGCCCTCCCATCCGCCGCAGGGCCAGGCCAGGCCGCTGCCTCCTTCCGCACCCGTTGGTCCCCCTCCTACCGAGACATGGGTGACCCTGGGCCCTCCTCCGCCCCAGAGGTCATCTGCGTGGGTCCCCCACGGTTCTGAGTCTGGCTGCTTCTGCACAGCAAGTCGCATCTCAGGGTCACGAGTGCTGCTGGGCGATGGTGTGCTTCCTCTCGTGTTGCTGTCCCACCGTGGGGCTGTCCCACTGTGCGGCTGCGGCAGTCGCTGGACGAAGGATGCCGGGCTGGCCCAGTGCAGGCAATTCTGACAAGGGCGCCACAAACGCCCGCACCCGGGATGCCGCGTGGGCACACTGTCCTCCCTTGCAGGGGAGGGGGGAGGGGTCCCGCCGCCCGCACGTGTCGGTGCTGGGCTTTCAGGGTCTGCGGCCCCCTCCCAACACACTTCTGTCCCGAGGTTTTAAGTCTCAATTCCCCAACGAGGCAGTGCGTCCCCTCGTGAGCCACTTGCCCTGCACAGGGTCACTCTCAGCTGGTCAACCCAGGCCTTCTGCCCATTTAGAAGGCTGGACTCCTGTGAGTCTCGAGGGTTTTTATATATTCTGGGCTCAAGTCCTTTGTCACAAGTGCGATTTTCACCCTGGCTGGTGTTGCTCAACGGATGGAGCGCTGGCCTGTGAACCAGGGGCTGCGGGTTTGATTCCTGATCAGGGCACATGCCTGGGTTGCAGGCCCCCAGTGTGGGGCAGGTGAGAGGCAACCACACATGGATGTTTCTCTCCCTCCCTTTCTCCTTCCCCCCTCTCTAAAAATAAATAAATAAAATCTTTAAAAAAAGTGCTATTTGTAAATACTTTTCTGCCAGCCGGTGGTCTGTCTCTTCACTTCCTCAAGAGTGTCAGTCACAGAAGATTTTAATGAGGACCAGTCTCATTTATTCATTTTTCTTTCATGGCTTGTGCTTCTGGCCCCTGTCTGAAAGGTCTGATCCAAGGTCATGGGCGCCTGCTCCTGAATGTTTAGGCCACGACGCACCTCAAGGGTACTTCTGTGAGGGTCCACTCCTGCCGGGGGCAGTTGGCCGTGGGAAGGCTGACCCTTGCTCCAGACTCTGTTCACGCAGGTCAGGGCCTGGCTGGTGGGCTCTCGATTCTGTGTCCGCCGCCGCCGCAACTGCCGTTCCCTACAAAGTCTCCAGCTTCGTCTTCCCTTTCTAAACTGTCCGGTGGTTCTACTCCCTTGACTGTCCACACACATTTTAGAACCTCCTGGTCCAGATTCATCCACATCGCGTGTTCCAACCTGTGAACGTGCATTCACATCTTCTTTAAACCCCCCAGACCCTGGGCCTCTGCGCAGGCCTTACTGGACAGACTAGCCCTGGTTAGCCCCTGCCCTGCCCACCTGTTTACTTCATGCTGCCGTCTTAACCACGGCACTGGACTGACCACAGGCTCGCAGTCTCTGTTCCTGACCAAACGCAGGCTGCTGGGACCAGGAGCCACATCTCGCGCGCCTGTGCAGCCACCAACGCAGAACCCTCACCGGACCCGCCGCACTGACGAGCCTCAGACGCGTGCCAGCCAGTCCCCAGGCAGGGACAGCAGGTGCCGGGTTCAGACCCACTGGGCCGAGTGCTCAGGAGCAACACACAGCTTCCCTCGGTGCCGCAGGAGGAGGTCACCGGTCTGCACCGAGGTAGGCGGTGGAGCACTTTAGTGCCACCGTTTCCGACGCGCGTCCAGTGTTCTAGACTTTGAAGGGCGTGCTGTACAGAGACAAACAGTAGGGCTGGAGAAAACAAGTGACGAGGCTGTTACCAGCACACTCAGCGTCCTCACTAACGAAAGGTGTTGACACTCTGAACTGTGGGTCACCACAGCAGAAACGGACGCTGGCCCTTAACAGGACCCGACTCAGACCCGAAGCCCGACCCCTCTGCACGTTTAAACCTATCGGCTGCCGTCACGTGTAGAGACTGGGTGCCGAGAACAGATTCCCGTCACCGAGTCACTTCGCTGTCTGCCCAGAGAGATGCTGCTGAGGCGCAGGGGCCCCGCTTCTGCCCTCCCAGGACATTGGGCAGACGGGCCGGGGAGCACCCCGCACGGGCGTGGGGCAGTGCCGGGCTGACCTGCGGTGGCCGCCGCTCGGCTGACACGGCCTGCTTCCCGGGGCAGCTCACCCGGTCGGTGCCACGAGGACGCACCTCCCTGATGGCTGGGAGCAGCCCTCGGCTTGGACAGGGAGACCGCCGACCGAGGTCACGAAGGCTCCCGGTAGCTTCCCGTGGTTTTTGAATTGATCCTGTTCCACTTTACCGAATGGTAATGATTTCAGCATTCTAGGAGATTAATGTAATACCTTCTCTTCTACTTGTAATATTCACAATGACAATATCATGACTGTAGTGTTTGTATTTTACCTTACCTCATTTGTAGATATATTGGTAGATAGCTCTATCTTTGCCCTCATTATAAAAGTCATGTGGGTGTCTTGTACCTTCCCAGGACCTTGACAAAACCTTCATTTCACGAGAGCCTCACAGTGACACCAGGAAGTGGGGTCAGCTGCCGTCTGATGGGCGGGGGGTCTGGGCTGCGACCTCTGTCACCGCCCCACACGCCACTATCACCGAGAAATCTGAGCCGAGGCTTTCGACTCAACTGTGAACCCAAGCTGATTTGAGATTAGTGGACTTTGTTCTCCGTGTTGCTCCTGGAAGATTCCCAAGTCGCTTCGACCTGTATCTGGAGAGCCGAGGGGGTCTCCCACCCACAGAGCCTATTTTCTGGGCTACAGAAACATGCTTTCATAAAAAGCATGACAAATTTAAAACTTCCTTCAGGAATATTTCCGCCTTCACGCACAATTTTAGGCAAATGACTAAATCTTTTGCAAAGCTCCCCGGGGGTGGACTTTTCCTCAGCGGCGTCATCGCGCCCACGGGTCCCGGGGTCAGGACACTTGGGCACCAGTGTGCGGGCAGGTGTGCGGCGCCGACGGGAGCCGCGGCCGTGGGGCCTCACACAGACGCGGGAGAGGAGCCGGGCAGCCGGCGAGGGGCTCACCGTCCACCTGCTGAGTGCGGGGCGCCACAGTGGCCGCGAGCCCTCGGGTCGGGGCCGCGCCGTGAAGCCAGAGCCCCCCGCCGACAGGCGAGGAAGAGCTTGTTTCCCTTTTCAACATTTAACTCCAAAGGAAAATATCAAAAGTAACTAGAAGAAATTAAAAAATGTCCCGAAGGACAGAAAACAGACTGAAACCTGCAGGAAGGTCTAAAAACTGCCTCACGCTGGCACTGCTCCTTGCAGGGGGTGGCTCCTCAGGACCCCGGGAGCCGCGCGGCGCCGGCGGCAGCCCGGCCTTGGGCCGTACCTTGGTGAGGTCCTTGTAGAGCTCCGGGTACAGCATGGCCATGTCCGGCTTCACGTCCTGGTCCAGCACCAGCGAGAACACGGGGAACATGGTGTAGATGGTGGCGTAGCTGAGGGCCCAGAGCACAGTGAGTCGGTGTGACGGGCGGTCCCACTGGGCCGGGGACACCCCACTGGGCCAGCGGCCGGGGGGCGAAAACTAAGCAGAAACGGGGCGGCACCGAGCTCGACTCCTGAAGCCGAACCCCACACCCGCCGCCACAGCAACGGGCGGTGGGTGGGGCCCGGTTTTCCTTCTCCACCGAACGGTGTGAGGTGGCTGTGGCCTCGTGTGCAGTGGTCACTTGTAACGCAGAGCCTGGGCCCTTTAACCAGTGGGGGCACCTGGCAAACTGCAGCCCAGCCTCAGGCCAGGACGGGGACAGGGACCTGGAGCTGACCAGGCAGCCCTCACCCGGCCCCCCTGCCACCTCTCCCTTCCAGCCCCCCGGCCACCACGAGTCTCTCCCCGCCCTGCAGTTACAGTCACTGCAACGCTGCCCGCACACGCCGCACAGCAGGCGGCCCGTGGAGGTGGCACTTCTAGTCGGCCGATTCCCTGGAGGGGCGTCGGGGCTGCGGGGCTGGCGGGCCCCTTCGCGGGGTCGTCCGGGACCCCAGCACCCACTGAGGTGGATCTGGGTTGTTCCCAGGTTCTGGTTATTACTGGGTTGGCCAAAAAGTCCGTTTGCTTTTTTCCATAAAAGGCACATTTTCTCATTTTCACCAATAACGTTATTGGCTGGGACAGTGTAAGTATGTCGGCTGTCTCCCACAGGTGTGACCCTGACTGTTCCCAGGGACTGTCTCGGATGGAGCGCTGCCAGCTGCGGCTGGTCCGCGCAGCCACACAGCGCTGCCCGGCGACCATCTCCAGCTGGACCGTCACAAAGCACTTTTGACACGTTCCATCAGTCACAGCACCTTCTCCACACACCGCACAAATCTTTTTTTGTGTGTGTTTCAGTTGTATTTTTACCCTTCTTGAAATAATAAAGTCTAATAAGCTGAAAATGTTGCATATTTCCTTCCACCTTCAATATTAAAATTCACCAATTTAGATAACTTATAAAAAATGCCTGTTGCTAGGACGGCTGTCATACTACAATGTAACGAAATCGTTTCCATTGAAGTTACAGACAACTACCGGCTACTAGAGCCATCAGTGCACGGAAGTAACCAAATGAACTTTTTTGGCCAACCCAAGTTCCCGACAAATGTCACAGATTTGCTGTGAAAACAGACGTCCTCGTTGAATGACAGAATCGGGGGAGGGTCGGCAGACAGGCACCGTGCCCACTCTCACGCCGGCGGAGTGCGGCTCCCGCATCGGCACCGCCGACTGAGCCCCCACTGTGCGTGGCCCCCCACCCCTCAGCCTCCTGTGAGCACTCACCCCACCATGAGGAACCCCTGGTACAGGGGGACAGACGCGAAGTAGCAGACGGAGGAGAACACGGCCTTGGAGAGAGGACAGGGCAGCGTCAGCCACCAGCCCTCCCCGCCCCGCCCGCCCCTCTGCGTGCCACTGCGCCCCCGCCGGCCTGCGCACCTGCATGGTGGAGATGATGAGGCCCCGGTGCATGACGAACTGGCCGAGTGCCGCAGACCGCTTGTAGCTGCTCCGCCCGTGCACCATCAGCAGCCGCCCGACGTGCCGGAACTGCGTTATGGAGAAGTCTGCCGCCAGCGAGGCCGCCTTCCCCTCCTGCAAGGCACAGGTGCTCCCTGCAAACCGGGCGGCAAGTCTGCGCCCAGCCGCAGAGCTCACACCTCACCGAGGCGGCTGAGGCCTCCTGCCCGACAGCGGGGGCGGCCTCCAGGGCAGGGGACAGGGCTGCTGCAGGCCACCCAGGATGTGCGGACCATCCTCCGCTGCCTCTTGGCATCACAGAAACTCAGCAGAGGTGGAACACAGCACTGCCCAGGGGCCTGGCCCGGGGGTCTCAGGACCCTCGGGCACCTTCAGGACTATCAGCCTGAGTTCTCTCACGTTTAGACACCACCGGCCCACCACCTCACAAAGCCACTGGGCGGGACTGAAGGAAGCCCTGTAAACGACACACAACTGTCGGCACCAGGAGCAGAGCAGCCCAGGGGACGGCTGGTCTGCAGCCAGCGTCACCTCCAGGTCTCTACAGGGTGTTGTGTGAGCACGGAAGACAAAGCCCACACCACAGCTCCCAGCCAGCCTGGAGATGCGACATCCACACACGACCCACGTGCCAGCAGGAGAGAGAGGCTGCAGGTCCTGTGGGCACCAGGAAGGTTTGCGGAGGACATGGTGACGTCCATGGGGACCCGCAGGTCCCTCACAGGACCCCCTGGAGGACACTGAGCCGCTCTGCTTTCTCCCTGCACCTCATCCGGGGAGGGCTCACCCCTTCCCACGCGCCGAGCCCACACCAGGGAGGCTGACGGGACGGACGTACCTTCCCTTCGATCCCGACGCCGCAGTCTGCAGCCTGGATCATGCTTACGTCGTTCCCCCCGTCACCTGGGAAGGGGGACAGTGGTGGGGGTGGGGAGTGAGAATCCTCCACTGCCCTGTCCTGTCACCACAGACGCTGCCTGCTGTCACAGGTCGAACAGGATTTCGCCTGTGATTTCATGACACCAGTTTCTCTTAAACTACAGGGACTGTGAAGCCCAGGCACTGTGTGTGTGTGTGGGGGGGGGGGGAGCTCACCGATGGCGCAGGTGCGCCTGCGCGTGTGCTGCTGCAGCAGCTTCACGATCCGGGCCTTCTGCGTGGGCGAGCAGCGGCAGCAGACCACTGCAGGGCACTGGCAGGCCAGCTCCACGAGCTCGTGCTCGTAGTACCGCAGACACACCTGGAACACAGGCTGGTCATACCCCGGGCGTGCGGGGTCTCTGTCCCCGGGTCCCGGCTCCACCACCACACGAGAAGAACCAGGTAAGCAGAGATATACAAGGATGCGCCTTCAACCTGGCGAGTCCTTAGCCCATGGGAGGAAAAGCTGACGCGTGCTGGGCCAGAGACATGGGTGGGTGGGCAGGCGGATGGACAGACAGCCAGCCAACCATGCGCTGGGCTGGGACCAGCCTCACCTCCAGCGAGTCCCCAGATATGACCAACGCGCAGTCGTGCTTCCTTCGAAAGGCGTTCAGCTCCAGGTGGGCGTCCCCTCGACTGGCCACCTGCACCAGAGGGGAGAAGGCGGCGGTGATGCCCAGGTGTGGGCCTCCCCTCGACTGGCCACCTGCACCAGAGGGGAGAAGGCGGCGGTGATGCCCAGGTGTGGGCCTCCCCTCGACTGGCCACCTGCACCAGAGGGGAGAAGGCGGCGGTGATGCCCAGGTGTGGGCAGCAACACACGAGCCCTTAGTGTGGGTCACTGACGCCTTTACACACATCACCGAACACCGAAAGGTGCTCCGCACCCGAGGCCCCGGGAGAAGCAGTGCTCTCGGCTTCCTGCAACAGCTCTGGGAGCCGACGCCCGCGGACTAAGCTCTGCCCCTTCTCTGGTCGGCGGCATCCGATGCCCCACAGCAGAACCCAGCACAGCACAGCGGACAGAGGACGGTGGCTTATCAGGACACATGGCCGCCCCTCCTGTCCCCGCCGTCCCACCCTAGCAACAAGTCTGTGGCGCAGCTGCATGGTGACGTGGGGCCCTGGGAACCGAGCTCCTGGGCAGAGAGAGGCCTGGGCGACCAGCCGAGGCCTCCACTAAGTTGCTCCCCCGTCCGAGCCGCAGGGCTCCCCTTCCCTGTCCGTTCGAGCCAGCGGACAGCAAGAGCAAAATCGAGCCATCGCGCTCAAACGTCACTAACTTGGAACGAAGGCACTTCAGACACCAACACACTGGTTCTGACACACTTTCTGTGGAAATTTTATGGGGCATAAAAGAAATGATATATTATAGGACTGAAATAAAAGTTTCATATGTGGTCCAAATTAATCTCAGATTCATCTTTAAATAGGTACGTTTTATGGTGGAAATTTTAATTTGTGGTGCTATAACACTGGAAAGTCAACAAAAATTGATCTGAAGTTTTATCAGAACCATTAATAATTTAATTGCAAATAGTCGTCTGCAGGGCCTAATTTGCGATTCCTATGCTTCAAAATAAACTACATTTACATATAAATTGTATTCAGTGTCTGTGTCTGTAGGTGCACGCGCCGCATTCAGAGCAGACGCAGACACATGCACAGTGTCTGCTCACCCACCACCCGTCAAGACCCCAGAAACTTTTATTTTTTGTTGGAATTAAATGTAGTCCAAAGCAATACATACAGTAAACACATAAATTCAATCGTTCGTGTTCATTTTCTTTGAGCTAGTTAAGGAAGAGCACCCACTCGGAGGGTGGTGGCAGACGAAAGCCACGTCCCTGCTCTGCATCTGGACCTGGGCCCCGAAGGCGGCCGCGGCCGCAGGGAGTGGGGTCCCCGGCAACGGGACCGCGGCTTTACAGGTGGGTGGAGGGACTGCAGTGTCCGGTCTGTGCCAAGACAGGCGTGTGGTTGTGCAAGCCACTCCCACAGGGCCACGGAAGGTGCTCTTCAATCTGCACAGACCCAGCTTCTAGCATAGGCAGCTTCTGATCACAGCAACTAACGGAAATCTGTTTCCGGTGGTTTATGGACTGAGGGGGAAAGAGCGTCGCTCTCTCTCAGAACCGACCACCGGCCATCAGGGAGAAGCGGCCTGCACACTCACAGGAGCAACAGGCTCCACTGTCAGAGAAGACGCTGTGGCCCGGAGGGGCTCCGGCAGACTTACGGGTCTGAAGACGTGAATGTCCTGCATTCTCGATACCAGGTGTGAGCTCTTGGCGATGCAGGTGGCCGTCTCCAGCTTGTCACCCGTCAGCATCCATATCTAGGGAACAGTTCACCCTGGTGACCCAGCCTCCGCTCTCTCGCCTCCTCTCAGTGTCCCTCCCGCACGGACGCCCGCAGCCCCAGGGTCCCAGTCACAGCAGCACCGCCTGCACTGTCTGCACCATGGGGGCGACCGCGTGCCCCTGGAGGACCGCGGTGCACGCGGTACACGCCAGGCCGGGCCCTGTGGACGCAATGCCGAGTGAAGGCAGGCAGGCACAAAGAGCCAGTGCTGTCTGGTCCCCCTTGGAGGGGCCCCTGGAGTCACCGGAGTCATGGGGACAGGCAGTAGACAGTGGGTGAGAGCCAGGGGCTGCGGGGAAGGGGACGGGAGCTCGGCTTTGCGCGGACAGAGTGTCAGACTTGCAAGAGGAGAAGTTCTGGACGATGGCAGTGCTGGCGGCACAGCGCTGTGCATGTGCCGGGCACGGAGCCGGGGAGGTGGTGAGGTCGGTGTCCACCCCAGTAACGGCGTCTCTGTTAACTTGCCTCACAGAAGTGAGGAGCCCAAAGTGAAGGTTAGGCTCGGGGCTGTGACCTGGGGGGTGGCACAGGCACCACATGGTGAGGGCCCTGGCCACCCACTCCCAGCTGCCCGGCTTTTGGCTGGAAACTGGGGCTCAAAGTGGGTGAACAGGTGGAGTTAGGCTGAAAGCTGTATCAAGTGAAATCTTCAAATTACACATGTGTACACATGTACGTGTAAATATCCCAAGAGTATATGAGAAGAGTGCAAGCAGGACATTCACCGTATAACACAGTGGTCTCTCTGTTTTTTATAACAGCAAAGACTTCCTGTGACTTCTCATCACTGAATTTTCAGATGTCTCCTGCACCACATACAAACACACACTTTTGGAAGCAGGAAGCAGGGAGCAGGAAAGCCGGACGTGTGCTGACTATCGGGGTGCGCTGGGGCTCTCTCACTGTCTGTGCGCCTGTGCTCACGCTCCCCTTCCTGAGCCGGGACCTGAGGCCGGACCCGCTGGGGGCACAAGGCCGGGGCTGAGACTCGGGGCCAGGGCCGCCCGCCAGGGGCCTGCCTGCCGCCCCGGGGGAAGCCTGTGGGCTGAAGCCGAGACTAGGGTTTCAGGGGGCGTGTTTCCTTCAACTGGAAAAGGAAGAAAAAAAGCCCAGAAAATCTTCCCCAGCTGAGCAAGAAATTGATATGGACACCCAGACACTCACTCTGCACCTGCTGAGAGCCCGGCCCGATGGCAGAGACGCCGGGCCCGACGTGTGTGGGCAGGCACGAGAAAGCGAGCAGGCGGCGGTCGCCTCTTCACCCCCGATGGTCACTTTGGGCCTCTGACGCGTCCGAGGGCCGAGCTCCCTGCTGACGGCATCCACGCCTCTGCCGCCACTGCTCCCCCGCCTGCCCGCCTGCCCTGTTCTAAATGCCCCTGCACCCCTCGCTCTGAGGCGATTGCTGAAATAGCTTGTGTCCCCACCTGTCACTGAGCCCCCGGCTCCCCTGGCGGCACCGGCTGAGAGGGTACATTCTGGGAAACTGAGCCCGGTGCCAGGAAGCGCCAGGACTGGGGCAGCAAGGCCAGCGCGGTACCTTGATGCCCGCGTTGCGCAGCAGCTCCAGGGTGGGCCGCACGTCCGCCTGCAGCCGGTCCTCCACGCCCGTCAGGCCCAGCAGCTGCATCTCGCGCTCCAGGCTCTCCACCGCCGCGGCCACCTTCAGCGCCCGGTCGTGCACGCTCAGCTTGGCCTGCGTGTAGCGGCTCTGGGGCAGATGGGGCCGTGCCGTCCATCACTCAGGACTCAGGACAGGGAGCCAGGCGGGGCTAAAGGAACACCCCCTCCCAGCAGAGGGCAGGGGCTGACTCCTGACGCTCCTGCTGCGGCCATGCGACCTCCGTGTCACCCGAGCAGGAAGAGCCACTCACAGCAGCACCGGAGCACACAAGGGCCGGGCGTGGCGAGTATGCAGGAAGCCCGGGCCTGCTCACCTCGAAGTCCTGGTACTGCTCCTCGGTCAGCGCCCTCTTCGCGACCACGAGGGTGCGCAGACCCTCGCGGGCCATGTTTCCACACTGGGAAAGAAGACGCAGGTCACAGGGGCCTCTGCAGGGTCAGGGTCGCCGTCCTGGCTGTGACCACGTCCCCTGCATTTCCAACTCTGCTCCCAGTCCCTGTATCCTGAGCCCACGAGCCCACAGACTAGATACGTGGGCCCGGGACTCGGAACACCACCCAGGGTCCCACACGTGGTCACCCCAGCCCACACTTGGTCCCTGCTCTCCAGGCCTCTGGGGACAGGAGGTGAGGGGACAGTGGGGCTGGCATCCCAGTGTGGCTCTCCAGATGACAAACTCAATTCCTTCCCGCCTCAAACCACTTTTAAAATGGCACGTGAACACGAGACACCCTGTGCCCCACGCTGGCCCTGGGCTTTGTGTAGTAACACACGGAGGCTGATGCTGGGTGTTGGGGGGAGGTGGGGAGCCCCTGCAGGGAGTGAAGTGAGATGGCAGGAATGTCACAAAGTGTTTCTGTGGAAAATGCAGTTCAAGCCACGACGTGACGAACGACAAGCCACAGCACTCTGAACCACCTGTCTGAGGCTCACCTGGCAGCCCGTCGAGAACGAGGACAGCAGAGGCTCACCCAGCCACTCGGCTCCCAGAGGCCCCACCCTTCTCATTGAGTCCCTCTCTCGACTTCCAAACTCTGACCCGTAAGAGCTCCAAAGGCTGGCCATTTCACCTGTCCTGGGCACTCATGGTCAGCAGAGACCATGGTGGCCACTTCCCCTTGGAGCCCGAGTGCGAACAGGCCCTGCAGCCGAGCACCAGGGACGGCGGGGTCGTTGGGAGGTGCTTCCGCTCTGAAGCACGGCTGGAGAGACAGACAGTATGTCCAACGTCCATCAAAAACATGCAGCTGGTAATGTGATGTGCTTAAACGAACGCACCCCAGAGGGAATTAATTAGCTCCTTCTTCAGCGAAAAGAGAGGGAGACACCAGTGCAGGTCTGCACAGCGAAAGGGCTGCCTCTGTGCCCCGCACAGAGCGGATGGAGACTTGGAGTGTCCGGCCTTCAAGACACGAGCTGAAATCCCTCACCGCCCAGGGTCAGGCCCGCCAGCCCACTGATAAAAGCGTCCAGGCCCAAGCTCCTTGCTTGCTGGCCAGATCGCTGCCATGTGCAGACCCTGTCCCCTCCCAGATGACCTCACCCCCGCTCCAGGGCTCCCAGCCGGCAGACCCCTCCCTGCGCGGGCAGCGAGATGCTACAACCTGCGGGCACACACAGCGGACCCTCAGCTCTGCTGCAGTTCCCGGTCGGGTGGACCAGAGCTGATGCTCACAGCCATGCACGCCGCGGGGAGTCGACAGTGGGCCGCAGCTGGAGGACAGGGTGCCCAGAAGACAGCGGTGTGCTTCCTTCCCACTGTGTCCTCCTACTCCCGTCCCCGGTCCTCACTCCTGTCTCCCCCCTAACAACAGGTCTGGGGGGAGGGGCAAGTCTGCTTCAGAGGGAAGGTGGCTCCCGTGCATCTGCGCGGACTCCCGCCGCAGGTTTGTAAGCCGGCCCTTTCTGGCGTGGGGTGGGTGAGAAGGGTCAGTGCCTCCTGTCGGTTGTTTTGTTAGTGTTTGGAGAACACAAGCACACAGCTAACAACCCAGCAGACCTGGAGGGCTTGTCGGAGACGGAGGAGCCTGCGCGGCCCGTGGCGGACAGACTGGCTGCCAGCAGGTGGAGGCCTCAGACCACGAGAGCCCCACACAAAGCGGGGGTGGAGGTCAAGCGGGAGTGGGAGAGACCGCCATGCGGAGGGAGGGCACGCACGTGGGGTCGGTAGTGAAGTTCTTTGTGAAAGGCAACCTGACGTTATCTGTCTGTTGCAAGACATTTATTGATTTGACCTCATAAAGCTAAATAAATTAAACAAGTATTTTATAATTAATTGCACATCATTATGACCAAAAGTAATTTTTATGGCATTTTACTAGGTCTTCAGGGGATTTAATTTATTCATGTCCCTGATTAAACCCCAGTGCCTGCAGAGCTATTGACTCTTCCAGCCACCAGCACGGTGCAGGGTGCAGTGCCCCCCACGCCCCCAGGGGCGGGCGCCGCAGCAGGCGCACACACGCTCCAGGCCACCGTCCCTGTGCCCAGGGCTTTCATGTGGCTTTGAAATCCAGCTTCTCAACACACAAATGTGAACACCACACCGTAAAGCCTCACGAGGCTGAAACAAACACCGTTTGTTTAGGGGAAATCTGATGGGACATAGCACTGGTCATGTTTGTATCTCAGTTTCTGTTTTTAAAGTGAATCCCACGTACAAATTAGACGTCGATTAAAATCTTCTTGCTAACAGATTATAAAGTGGATATATTAAAACGTAATTTTGGCTGTATACACATTATCACTTCAGGATTTTTAGTGAGTAATTAGTAATGCTGTCTACTCTCACTAATACAAACAATCTTCTGACGGACCTGCTTGCACGTAGGTGCCACAACGTCACGAGCCCCGAGGTGGGAGCTGTCTGCACAGGAGGCTGCCTGTCACTGAACGGCAGCCCCACCCCTGCTGCGCAAGGCTCAAGAGACCTGGTCACCCTTAGCACACCGCGGTGGTGCAACTGCCTCGGCCCACGGTGGGTCTGAATCTGCATCGCGGTTTACCCTGGCCACCAGCGTCTCCGCGGGAGAGGACACTGTCCTGTCTGCTCTGCTCGCTCATCTGCCCCACACACTGGTACCCAGAGCGGTGGTTACCTCCTCCTCCAGCCAGTCGTTGTACTGGACGACGGTGGCCATGACGGCATCGGCACCTTTCATGTAGAAAGCGATCTCTGCCGTGGACTCGTCCTGCAGGGACGGGGGACAAACAGGTGTGCTCAGGCAGGGACATGGCTCCGAGGGGCTCAGAGTGGCGCTCTCTGGGCAGGGCCCCCTGTGCCAAGCAGCTCAACCCCCTTTCCGTGCTGCTCCACGCCCCGATCCCGGGCAGCAGAGGACGAGGACACAGCTGCACGTCCTGAGACACCATGCTGTTCTTGGAAGAAGGGTTACTGGATGTCGCCTTGGGCTGACCTTTGGCTGTGAGGTCAGCATGAATCCGCTCTACTTTTCCTTGTCTGACTGAATAAGCTTTCTTGTTCAGCCAACTTCTGATACAGAATTTTGGCATCTGGGAAAAAATTTAAGGGGCTGTATCTCAGCAACTGCATGGTCCTGAATCGTGCTTATGTTAAAGTTGCTGGCACACACCCGCTGCTGGACACAAAGCCAACTGAGGAAGCGGCGGCTTGGACGGGTGCCGCTCGGGCCACCACAGGAGCCGTCTGACTCGCCCCAGGAGGGCCCCACTCCTCAGTGTCCGTCACTGGTGCAGAGAAGCCCCCGCGTGGGGGCGGGTGGCACCTACCCGGACAATGATGCCCATCCGCTTGCTCTCTGAGGTGAAGGGGAACATCTGCAGGACACGGTAGGTCAGGATCTGGCCGCCGGGCGTCCTCAGCTGCATGGACGTGAGGTCTCTGTTGACCAGCGTGAGGCCGACGCTCTCCGTCCACTGCACCAGGGCCACCTGGAGGCAGCCACCGAGAAGTGAGGCCACCGCCTTCCCCGGAGGGAGAGTGACAGGCTGGCACCAAAAAGCTTTCCGAGAGGTGACTGACTCGCACAACTTGCTGTGCTGAGAACCTGGGTGTTTCTGTGGCCATGTCAGATGTTCCCTTTTAAGGTCACCTCTGCGAGACTGCCACCAGCAGGGCGTTAGAGCCCCCGGGCTCGCTTCGCAAGACAAAGGCGAGGCTGACCGCACGCCGCTCTGCCGGCTGCAGGGGCCAGTGTTGGGCGGCCCACGCAGCCCCGCTGGCAGGCTCGGCGCGGGGCAGGCTTCCAAGGTCCCTTCTGATTCCACCCGAATCCCTCGGTCCATCTGACCTTTTTCTAAAGTAAGAGAGGAACTGGGGACTGATCGCTCCGCAGCTGCTGGGTCCACGTGTGCGCCACCCACCCACGGTGGGGATGTCTGTTTCCCACACACTTTCTAGGGTCTCAGCAAGAAGGTCAAGAGGTGAGGATAGTTGTGTTGTGCTGAAGACACATCCTTGTTTACATAGGGTTATTTATTTATTTACTTTATTTTTAGAGAGGGAAAGGGAGGAAGAGCGGGAACAGAAGCATCACTGCCTGGTCGCTTTTCACATGCCCCCAACCTCGGGAACCGGCTCACAACCCAGGGTGTGCCTGATGGGAATCGAACTGGCGAACCTTTGGTTCGCCGCCCGTGCTCAATCCACGGAGCCACACCAGCCAGAGCGGTTTGTACAGTTTTGAACCACAGCTTCATTTTATTTCGCGTGCACTCAGTGCACTGGGATTCACCTTTCGTAAATTTGGGACATTTCTGAAGTTTGCCTGGTAGAGCCACCTGCAGGGAGAGGGTAATGTCAGAGAAGCAGGGGGAAGGAGACAGTGACACGGGTTCTGTCTTCTCAGTAACTTCAGTCAGAGTCAGAAATGAGTCCCTGTAGGGAAGGGGTCGGGGAGGGGCCCTCCAGTGTCCTCCCCACCAGGCTCTTCACCTGAACCTGACCCGGGAGAGACCCAGGAGCCAGTTCCTATGACCCTGCCCTGGGCCTCAGAGGCGAGGGTCCTTCCACGGCCATGTCTCCTCTGGTCTGCCCCCTGCCCCGACCTCTCAGCAGGTCTGATAGCCACCGCCCCCGGCCCCGTCTGCCCTGCGACCTGCCACGGCTCCCTGGGCCACGCACACGCTCCTCCACATTTAGAAACATGCATTCCGGTTGCACCACTACAGCCACCGTTAGCTGATCTGCACGCCCGGGCCGTCGGGCTGCTGTCGCTCGTTCCAAGCAGCACCCTGTCCCTGACGAGCCACCCCCAGAACACACGTGGCCAGGTTCCAGTGTCCAACTGGCCCAGAGGTTGGCTGGGAGAGCTGCGCTGCCGGGGGAGGCTCCGACCCCGACCCTCCACGGCGGTGGGTGCACTGAAGACATGAGGCACCCTTGTGGAGGTGGCCCCTGCTCCGCACCTGAAGCCACTGGGCCGGTCTGAAGACGTGCTCCCCCGGCTGCAGCATGGTCTCTGGCCAAGACAGAGCCCAGTCCATGGGTGAGCCCCAGGCCTGCTCAGGGTGCACCAGCGGGGCTGGGTGGGCCGCCAGGGAGGCCGCTGCTCGGGAGGACACCTGCCCTTCCCCTTCGCCAACCCGAAGCTCCGCTCTCAACCAGGAGCTGAGACTCCTCCCCTTTCTGTGGGAAAGACATGAAATGAGCAAACATGTGCTACTGTCTGTTTTGTGAGCTATTCCAGTAAGATCGCTCTTCTCCTTTTCTAGAAGATGAATCCTATACACAGCAGCAAATCCAACATTTCTGGACAACTGTTCGCAGACTCCAGGGCCGGACAAATGCTGTGTCCAAACGGTCCCTCGAAAACCAGGACGACAGTTACCGCTTCCAGACGGAAACCGTGGGAGGAGTGTCCTGCAGGTCACTAACGCCCTGCAGGACTTCCCAGTGCTCTGCCGCTTCTTAATCACTGTCGAATTTCCACAGTACAAAGAAATTTTAGGAAGGTACCATTTTAAGTGTAAGATTAGCAGTTTCTACTCAGTTGTAGTAATCTCTGAATCAAGGATATCCCCTTTATTGTGACTTTCTAATTTAAGACTCAAAGCGTTACCACGTATAAAAATCCTATGTATTTTCGTCAAAATTTGTATTGCCTTTTGGTGGGTAACATGGTACACCTATGATAGGTATTTTTAAGTATTTGCCATCGCTGGTTTGATCACTTTACAGAATTCTGAAGAACCCAAAGTAGAACAGTATGTAAGTTTCTGGCTGGTGTGGCTCAGTGGATGGAGTGCAGGCCTGTGGACTGAAAGGGTCACTGGTCTGACTCCCAGTCAGGGCACAGGCGCGGGCTGCAGACCAGGTCCCCGGTGGGCGGTATGTGAGAGGCAACCACACACTGGTGTCTCTCTCTCTCTCTTTCTCCTTCCCTTTCCCTCTCTAAAAATAAATAAAATCTTAATTAAAAAAGAGAAAGAAAAAGTGTATAAGGAAACTATACATAAAGTATACTAAGACTATATAAAAATTGGGCATATTAATTTAATATTAAATTTTTGTCAACCTAAAAACCAAAGAATGATACAAGGTTAATTAAGTCTTTCCATATTTAAGATTCTATAATTTTTGTCTCCCATAGATTTTAAAAATTACTTCATTTTAAAATGCTGGAAAAGTAACTGGAGACATGATCAGCAAACCCAGTGCTTCACCTGGAGACGGGACGGAGGGACGTGCTCGTCCGACAGGCCCGAGCCTCAGCACCTTCAGTGCATGAGTCCGACGCGGGCACCGGCCAGCCTGTGGACTTGAGGGGCACCAGCCTGCCCCCACCCCGCTGTGAGCGACTCAGGTGTGCCGTGCCACGCGGACACATCAGGACGAACTCACGGACGCGGAGGGCTCTCACCGGCTTCACTCCACAGGCTGCTGCTCAGACACTGTCAGAGCCCCCTGCCCGCCCCAGAGCGCACCCACCCGCACCTCGGCCAGCACGGTGGGACACACTGTGGGACACACGACTCTGCGGGCGGCTGACTGACCTCGTCGGGGCTGGAGGCCTGGTAGGTGCGGTTCTCGTCGCTGAGGTCCTGGTCCGCCTCCGCGTACTCGGTCTCCCCCGTCACGCCACCTCGAGACTCGTACACGGGCGTCACGTTGTGGCAGAGGGCAATGGCTTTCACTGCTTCGTAGACACGACTGCTCACACTTTTTCTAACTCTGGGACCTGAAGGCTGGGCTTTTCTCGGCGGAGTTGAACTGGTACTGTTTCCGCCAGCTTGAGAGTGCAACTGTGAAACAGGAAGGCAGGGGATCAGGGACAAAGCAGAGCGGACACCGGAGCTCCCACCATCTCTACAGGCTGACTGGCTGGGGCAGAAAAGCAGCCTCATCTGACCCCCCGGCTGCCTCTGGCGCCCTCCTGCACGCTGTGTGCCGGTGGGGTCAGTCCGCATCCGCCTGTGGGCAAGTGCTGAGGGGTTCCCTGGCCAAGCACCCACACACGGTCGCTGTAATGCCCAACATCTGACAGTCCCCTCTCACTAGGTCCACTCTAATGGTGGCATATGTTTGCTAGGTCCTTCATAACTGCTGTTTATTCACTGCTTCTGAAAGCAGAGTGAGTCTGAGAACAAGATAGGATGATGCATGATGCGCCCTCTTTGGGTTTTCTTCACAAATGTTCTACCTGGTGTGCTATAAATCTCTGCCGGACACCATAAATCAACCCAGCTTGCAACCTTCTCCGAAGTCAGTGTCCAGTGCTGTGGATCGGAGTGACCCAGAGGGAACCGCTGCGTCCTGAGCGGGAAGGAGCCCACGCCGCATCTTGGGACCCTGCTCTCCCGAGGCAGCGACGCACCTCGCGTGGGTCTCAGCACACTCAGCTGCGTTCAGGGGCCTCAGCCCACCAGCCCAGCGGATGACTTGCATTCTTCACCTCCTGCTTGGCGAAGGGGGAGGGGACACACCCCCTGACCCCACGGGACTTGTCAGATGCTCTTCAGTCACTTCCGGCTCCCTCCTGACAACCCTCCTTAGAAACCAAGTCTGTGGCTTTTGGACGGGCGTGCAGAGCCACTGAACCGTGACGACTCTGCCCATCAAATTACAGTGCTGTCGGAGGGAGGGTTCGGCTTCCCCACGCAGCTGGTGCCCGTCAGCCCCACATCTGCGCCCGCTCCGCACCGCCGCTGAGCAGAGCCTTGCTGCCCTCCGCCTCCGGACCATGATAGCTCACCGCTGGCGGTGTGATTCGATTTCCCACAAACTCCACTAGGGAGTACGCCCTCTGTCACCAGATTCCTCCAGTGGGGGAGCACAGTCAGGTGACAGAAGACCCGTGTTCGGTGCCGCTGAGCCAGCAGTCGTTGGGCATCTCAACGACACACAGCGCCAGCAGCAGCATCAGTTCCACGTGAAAGCACGGTCCACCCAGTGAATCAGAACAGCTTTCGGCAAAAAGGGCTTTTAAACTCTTCTTAAATGGAAAAAGTATTAAATATTTGCTATTTTTATATGTCTCATGTTTTCTACTTTCAGTGTTTTTAGTAAAATCACTTACTTGGAGCTAGTACGACCCTGTTCATATTCTTGGAAAATACAAATTTTTTAAGCAAATGTCACCCGGTATGTTCAATGCCAGCATGGATTGCTAGGAGGGGGGAGAAGACTCTAGATTTTTCTCCCGTGAATAAACACCCCAGAGAACACAGTGCTCCGTGGCAACGAGTGACGCCTGAGCGGGGGCAGCGCGCGGCTCTGCGTGAGGAATGCACACGTCGGAGGCCGTGTGCATGGCCAGCACCTCAGAAGCGCGGTCGGTGCCGCCGGAGCCGCAGGGGAGAGGGGCTCTCGGCACCGACACGGGCCTGACCACCCTGAGCTCTGACAGGGCGGGACAGCCGCACGCCCGCGTCCGTCCAGCCTGTGCCAACGCAGCGTGCAGGAACGGGGGACGGGGTGTGTCACTGGGAAGCCATCGGGGAAGGAGGAGGACAGGTCGGCAGTGCGCGGTGCCCGCTGACGCAGACAGCAGATACCTGGGCCCCTAACCGTACTGTCTACTTCTGTTTATTGAAAAGGTGAAGAAGTGAAAGAATGTACAAGGAAGTCTTACGAACTCTGAAAAAAAATAGAGGGATGGTTAAGACACATTTGATGAAGCATTCTACTTAGTATCCCTAAGATACTATCTTAACTGAATAATTCTTACAAGTTCACTAAGAAACTTTAACAGGAGCAAGTGATTCAAGGCCATTGTGCCCTGCCTGATTCTACAGCGTGGCAATGTCTGTTTAAAATTAGCCTGAGTCCACTTTGTGATTTTCGAACCAGAACGGAAGACGGAGGCCGTGGCGCGCTGAGCTGCGGGCAGCAGCAGTCCGAGGATGCTCAGGCAGCCCGTGCCGGCCGCAGAGCCGCTAGCTCACCTGCGCGTAGGCGTTCCTGACATGGCTCTGGACCTCGTCCATCGTGTCTGTCCCGTAGGACACAGTGCCCAGGTGCAGCCGCTTGAACACCATCTCGTTCTGGGTCAAGGTCCCTGTGACAGAAGACAAAGGCACACAGGTGGCTCATCAAGATTGTGACTTTCCGTCCCTCTGAACACGCCTCGACTGCCACCACCTGCTACTCTGTGACATAAGTCTCCTGACGTTTTATCTGCTGCTGTTCTCATCTCACTAGTGAGGACAGATGTTTCCCCCCAGCACGCCAGACCCTCTTCAATGGCTACGATGGAAGGACCCCAGTTCTACGAAGACAGTCTCGTGCTGGCGCGTCCAACCTGCAGCCTACAGGCTGCATCAGTTTTCATTAGCATTTGTGTATTTACGTGTGGCCCAGTGACCCAGAAGGCTGCACCCTCTCTAGCCTGTGGACGTCAGCTGAGGCCCGCTGTCTGGCACACACACAGCTCTGGCCCATTCTGGACAGACAGGCATAAAACTGCAGATTATACACAGAGCACTGCCCAAGCAAGACAACTCGCCCTAAATTAGTGTGTCTGTAGGTTTAAAAAATATTTTGAAAAATGGAGCATTTTTCATTCAACAGAAGCAGGTGGAAGGAGAGCAGGAGGTGACAGGCAGGGAGGCACCTGCGCATCAGCTGAGTGAGCAGCCGTGGGCTCGACGGCCCCCGGTGGCCAGGTGGTCACTCTGGGCGTGGCTGCGTGAGCACCTTGCCGGGAACACTTCGTTCCGGCTTCCTCCTGAAAGGGCACAAGCAGGCGCCACGAGACGACGCTGCGGTTTCAGAGCCCAGTGTGTTAAGACGCTGAACGACATAGGTCTCTGCAGAGAGACCCCGAGCACATCCCACGCACCACTTCCCGTAAAGCACACTGTGACAGACGCGTGTGCCTTCTGCCTGCTGCTTTCAGGGAAGTGATGTGGCCCCGGGAGCTGCGGCCCACAAGGACGTCCAGCAGGTCCTGTTTGGCTGGCCCAGGCTTCTCAGCACGTGCGTCACGGTCCCCTACGCGGTCACCCCGATGCTGAGGGACTGAACCGTGGGTAGGAACAGACCTACAGCCAGTGCTTGACAACTGAAGTTGGGCTTTTCACAGGGCTACAAAACACCCACAAAATACTAATTGTTTTCCTAGGCACTCATGATATTCTGCTTTAGAAATTGAGTTGATTGGAGAGAAAAATGATTTTGGATGTCTTATTATTGCCAAGGTCCCACTTTCCTAATTACCACCACCACCACCTAATACGTGGACCGTTGCCTGGGAGACGCCCATGGCAAGTGGGTGCTGTGCTTGCTGTGGGGGGGGAGTAAGGTACATGCACAGGACATACCTGTAGCCAAGGCCAAAGAGCAAGACATTCCCAGGGCAATGTGAGAATCAAAACCCAGGAACGCAAAGGCTCGCCCACTCTGTCTGCCAGTGACTGTGGGGACGGAAAGATGGACAGCCAGCACCCATTCCTGAGCTCCCACATCATGTGGCCTGATGCACACATCCGTGTCCAGCTGCAGGGCTGTGGTCCCAGCTGTCTTGGAGGCCAGGCTCGGCCTGGCTGAGTGTGGACTTCAAGGTCTTGTCCCGACCCCAAGGCTCCCTCCTGTCTCTCTCTGCGACCATGGACTTGAGTGCTGCTACCTGTCCAGGGCGGAGTGTGGTTCACGGTCTGCTGGCTCCAGGCCTGCTGTCAACCGCACAGGACAGAGGCTGGAGAGAAGCAGCATCACAGACCCTTGGTCAGGAGGCACGTCTGCCATCTGCTCCTGGGCCTGTAAATTCAGTGGGTGGAAAGTATCCTACGTCTGAGTCACATGATAGATGGTTTTCTCCGGAGCATCCTTTACGAGAGATTACAGAAGACAGAGCCCTGGCATCCAGAATGCAGTAAATCCTGTGGACACCAGATGTCTCCCCAAACCAGAGACACACTGTCACAATGACTCCATCCGGCTCAACTTCCAGACAGTAAATCTGAGGCTGCAGAGTGACGGTCACATCACTACATCACTCCAGGGAGCTCTCCTCAATCAGCCTGGTGACAGCATTTCAGGTTCTAAGACTCCCAACTCCGGCTGTGCTGTTACACTTTGCTTCTCGCTACCGTTTGCAGAAATCTCCACGCATGCACAAAAATCCCAGTTACCACAGACACATACGAGCAGAGGCTAAAATGCTGAATACATCACTGCATTTACACATTTAGTTTAAAATAATTTAAAAGATCCCTGAAGCCAGGTTGAGTTACTTCCTTCTCCTCTTGGGTCACGTTTACAAAGCTTTGCATTTAGGGAGGCGCCTAAGAGGCCTTTATTCGGTGTGTAATAGAGCTGGGAAGAATGGAGTGGAAAACAAACTCCGAGCAGTTTCTGAGGAGGAACGATGTAAAAACACCCATTCCAATGCTGCTCCACTCCAAGCTCGCCACGGCACACGGCACGGGATGGGCAAGCGCGTTCCTGCTCTGCTGGGTGCTGTCCAAGCACCACTCGCTGCGAAGACTGCTGGCTCCCTGGGTCAGCGTCCATGCGCCCCGCACCCTGGCAACTCACAGATGTCGGCTCCTGCCGCGTGAACTGCTGCACGCCTCACGCACTGGTGGCTGCAGATCGTCGCTATGGCAACATCATTAGTTTCAGATCTTACCAGAAACGTGCACGCCAATCAGGCCTAACAACAGCCCCCCGCCTTCCTGTCTGCAGGAGGAAACCGACCTGGTCACTGGGTGCCGCGTCTCCTGGACCTGCCACTCTGATCTGGCCGACGGTGGTGCGCCGGGGAGAGGCCTGCAAACTGACCCCACCCACACGGACGCTCCATCTGCCGGCCACCACCGGCCAGACCCACTGCTGCTTCATGAGGGAGGCCACCTCAGCAGCCACTACGACCTGGATGTTTTCTGTGACTAGAGAAGCCATAGAAGTAGAGCAGGTGACTTCCATCTCTGGGAAGACCGTGTGCATGAGTCCACACCCGACGGGCGCCTGTTCCAGGGCTGTCGGAGGTTCTGAAACCCGACTGTGACTCACAGGTGGACAGAAACCCGTGCACACCCATCCCGGCCCCTCCTGCTGCACGAACCCCACCACAGGGCCTTGTCCCCAACAACGGCTCATTCGGAGCCGGGAGCTGCCCAGGAACATGCACACGTTCCTGAGGGAGCAGGGTGCGACCCCAGGTCTGTACACAGCCCCCACCTGACTGTATGGACAGATGCCTTCTACAGAGTCCCAGCGAGGACTGAGCCTAGTCCTCTGGTGGCGGTGACACAGTAACTACTGGGGTCCACCTGCACACCCACCATTCAGTCGGCGTGGCCCTGACAAACGCCACAGCGACACTGTCCCCCGAGTGCCTGGGCACCCGGACCTGAGGCCACCTGCCTCGGGGAGGAGACCTACTCCCACCCCTTTCTTATTTCAATTTATTTTTTAATTACTTTATACTTTCTGTTACCATTCTGACTGGCACTGTTCCAATTTAGTGTCCCAACTGCTGTGGGTATACAGAAATGTAGCTTAGACTTGACATTGAGCTCATATGTGTAACTAAGCTCTTATAATTCTGAACATTTTCCTGATAGTTTTCCTTAAATTATTACTTATTGATTTTATTTTATTTTTTAAATTTTTATTCATTTATTTTTAGAGGGGAAGGGAAGGAGAGAGGGAGAGAAATATCAATGTATGGTTGCCTCTTGTGCGTCCCCCACCAGGAACTGGCCTGCAACCCAGGCATGTGCCCTGACTGGGAATCGAACCTTGATCCCTTAGTTCGCAGGCCCGCACTCAATCCACCGAGCTACACCAGCCAGGGCTACTTATTGATTTTAGAGAGAAGGAGAGGAAGGGGGGAGAGAGGAAGGAGGGGGAGTTGGGGAGAAAGAGAGCGAGAAAGAGAGAGAGCGAGCGAGCACCAGACGTTGATCTGCTGTCCTGCTGACTGGTGCATCCACTGGTTGATTCTTGCATGTGCCCTGACTGGGAATAGAACCTACCACCTTGGCAAATCAGGACAATGCCCTAACCAACTTAGCTACCAGGCCAGGGTTGGTTCTTCTGGATTTCTTTGTAAAAACCACTGATTCATTTTCTTTGGGAAGAGCTTGCTTGTTCATATTGGTCCCTTGATTCCTGCTGGTGTTTCTTGGTTTCTGATTATATTTGTCAACGGCATCCAGGCTGCCTGGTTGGTACGCTGGGTGGTTTCTTCTGTGAACAGTGGACAGTGAGGACTCCTCAGGCCTTATACCAGGCACCTACCAGCTCTACATTCAGTATCTCTCTTCTCACACTGCAGAGCTGTTCTGAGTTCGGGCATGCTTTGCTCTGGCTGCTCTCTCAAACTATTTCCAGGAATAACTCCATTTCTGGATCCTTAGACATAGCTTGCTTGCTTTCCATGCTTTCAGATTTATTCTTTAAACTTCTTCCCACCATCTCGATGCAGCTGAGAAGGGAAACTCGGAAGGCCCTCCGCCCTCAGGCCTTTCCCAGTGAGTCTGATTCACGAGCACCACCCACCTCTGCCGTTCGCAGCACCCACCCAGGACAGACTTGGAGGGGAGCCACAGCCCAATGTCAGGCCTGACCAAACTGCCGTGAGCATGGGACTCTCACACAGGGACGCAGGGTATCTCGCATGTGTGGGTCTCCTTTCCTGTTTCACTGTGACATCTGGTCGTTGGGCACATGACCCCAGGCAGCGGCGGGCGTGCTCTGGTGGACTCAGGCTGCAGGGAACGGCGCTGTTCACCCGTCTGTTCTGCGAGGAAGGGGCCCCTGCGCCGCTGGGTCTGGAGCCTGAGCTCCACTGCTCTCCTGCCGGGGACTCCCACGGCCGGTCGTTACACCGGCAAGCGTTTGCTTCTTCTTTCTTGCTGTTCGTCATATTGCTGGTTCTTGTCTTGCTGCAACGGCCAGAGCAACTGGCTGCTGTTACAGGTCCTTCTTCTCCGACCGCGGTGAAGGTCTTCCTAACACTGTATTTAAAATGCTGAAGTTTGTTTCAGACATATCTTCTTTACCACTTATACAAATATTTTATTTCTAATTCATTAATAATCACTTGAAATTTAAATCATAAGCCAATAAATCAAGGAGTGATTTTAACTCTTAGGTATGGCTTTTATTATAGTGCTGGATTCAATTTATTTTTATCTACTATGTTACAGGTTGACAAGAATTCTGTGGTGAAAAGAAGAAAAAAACAAAAAAAGGACAAAGAGAATTTTGGGCATGAAGCCTCACGGTGAGATAAATGACCTGTAGCGTAAGGCTCCTTAGGAGAGTGAAGTTGTTAAAACGTTAGACTCATGTATCTTATTTTTAGTTTCTTCTAATAGTGCACAAGTGTCATTCTATAATAAACAGGCAATTTTTGCTCTTAAGAAGCCAGTAGAGAAGTGTAAAAAGGCAGTTAAATAAAACAACTGTAAGGCTGTAGAAAATTTGAAATAACGAAATATCATTTATATATCTAAGCATTTAATGTTTTGCTACTTCTGACGATACTGTGCATTTTGGAACATGACGGTGAGTTGTGTGCCAGTCTTCAAGAGTGTCGTCTGAGAAACTCTAGACAGGGGTCAAAGCTGCTGCACGCCCACACACACCTGCCCCGCCCCCAACCCCGATCACCCGGGTGGTACCTGTCTTATCCGTCAGCAGGTACACCAGGCGGCCCAGCTCCTCAGGGATGGTACTGGTCCGGACGACCGTGCCGGGAATGTTCTCGTCCCGCATCATCATCCACCCATACGCTGCTTTGCCCATGTCCAAGTTCACACGCAAACTGTCAAGTAAAACCATTGCCTGGTTAGTGGGATTCAACCCTGAGATTACTTCCACCTTCATGGATGCCACATAAACCTATTTATATACATTATCTTTCACTTTACATAAATAACATTGACTTTCAGACTTTCAAGTAAGTGAATTTATTGTGCTGTAAGTCCACAACCCATTCCATGTGCCAGAGGAGCCCTGGTACTCGGGGTCCGCGACGCGGGACAGGGAGAGAGAGGGCAGCTGTCAGTTCCCACGGGGCAGGGGGCCGGGCTGGGTCCCAGTGGAAGCGAACACTGGGAATGGGTCTTGTTTTACGACAGGAGCAAACACGATGCTTTCCCACAGTGAAGGGCTTCAGTGAGCGACATGAACTGGGTCTGGGAGGGTGCAGCAGCTGAGCCAGGTCTTATGACCAGCTGGCTGCAAGGAACAGACAGCCGCAGGCTGGAAGGGAAGTGCAGACAGAAGGGCTGTGGAGGCCGGTGCAGACCTTGGTCTGCGTGGTGAGCGCGGCTCCAGCCAGGCTGAGGCTTCATGCAGACGTTTCAGGAGTAAGGCAATAGCCGTGCCCTAAGCATGTGTGTTAGAGTCTTAGGGCCACTGGCTCCCACCGGGCAGGCAGCTCTGGGAGGTGAGACCGTGGTGGGGACCTGGATGCTGGGCAGGGCCACTGCGGCAGCACTGTGCCCGCCTCAGCCCGGGCCCTGAGCACCTCCCCGAGCCCACAGCCAATCTGTGTGCCTCTGTCCCCTGGAGTGCCCCGTGTTCTTCACATCACACACCTGTGCTCCTCTGACTCAGTCATCCCCTGCCTCTCCCGTCCAGTCGTGAAGGATGGACAGTTCAATGCGATGCCCACCCAGGTTGCGGAGCGGTGAAAGCTCACCACGTCATGCAGTGCCGTGGTGTGACCGCGCACCATCGACTACAAGTCTACAAGGCCTTCGAGGACCGAAGGAAGAACAGAGGCCACCCTGGGTTGGTAACAGCCTGCAGCCAGCCACCCCTCAGTGACAGGTAGCAGACTGAGACTGAGGGGAGTGTCTTCCGCAGAGACGACCCTGAGCAGGAGCCTACTCTGACTCTCACTGTGTGCTGTGATCCAGCGTCCGTGTGAGTGTGACCCAGCTGCTCTTCAGTGGTGAAATTTCTAGAAGTTCAAACTTCAAGCCATAAGTTGACAAAGCAATTATATTTAGCTTACTTTTCAGTAATGTTCAAATTTCTTAGAATTTGAAAACACAGACCTCAATTCAACTTGAACTTTATCATAACATTTGTGAGTAAAAAAGGTATAATAAACCTACTACTCTGAGAATTATAGGAATAGATTATAAAGCACTAGATACCAGACATATTTTCCACTCATTTAGCAACTGTGAAGTGGTCAACCACAAACCCGATCCAAGCGAAGTGAGAGTCCCCTGTGACTCTCTGCGGTCACTGAGCCAGAGGCGGCTGGGCCCCTCACGGGTCCCAGTAAGAAACCAAAGCAAACTATGTGGATGACCTGGTGGGCTGAGGAGCGCCCACCGTGGCGAGACAGCACACGCTAACTCCAGAATGGGGCATCGTTGTAACGGTGGCACTTTCTCTCCCGAACAGTTTCACCTTCTACCTGTGTCTCGGGTGACCTGGACCCTGAGTAAACCAAGGCGCATTCTCTTAAACCGCGCGGTGCCACCCTTGAGCACCGGCCCGTCACCCCGAGACCCGCAGAACTGGTCAGGGCGGGTGAAGCAGCTCCGGGACAGCCATGCCACTCAGGTGCGACCGAGGTCGTCGCCTGCGCCCTGTGCATCGGGACTTCAGATGCTGATCTGAGAGAAAGGAAGCACCTGCTGTCTCCATGGCTTTATCAAAACCTGTTCCTGGAAACTGTCATTTAACAGAAATGGCACAGGTGCCGTTTTATCTCATCTGAGAACTCAAAATTTTACCCCTGGCAAGTACTGCCATGGAAGCGAATCAGAAATTTTTATTCAAATTTGTGTAATTTTCTTCATATAAGAATTTCAAGACAGCTCTGCGACCCTGGGTAAAAGCAGGCTATTTTATTTGATCAGTGTTGCCACTGAAAACAACAGGAAAGGCCATGTGAAATATTTCCTTAGTTCTTAAAAGAAACAAAGAACTGACTAGACAGTGAAGACTTCCCAGGCTAAATTTAAACCCGTTACCAGCGAGGGAAGTGACCACAAACCTCCTTCCCAAGATCGCGCCTGCTGCCAGGAGTCTGCACGTCCCAGCAGTCCCCCTGCGAGGGCAGGGACACTGAAGATCGGGAGGTCGAAGGTGGAGGCCTGGCAGAAGTGCCTCCTTTCTCAATCAGGGGCCATGAACGGATGTCCCCAAAGAGAGGACACAGAATGGGACAGAGGCAGTGCTTGAACAGATGATGAGTGAAACTTTCTAGGATGAATGAAAGACACCCCTCTCCAGACTCAGAAAGCCCAGTGAATACCCAGCATGACACAGAAAGGGCCTTCTGTGCAGAGGTGCAGCGGCGGAAGGAGCCTAGGAGCCCCTGGGAGGGGCGGGGCGAAGAGCGGGGGAGGAGCAGACAGTCAAGACTGCTACTAAGTAGCAACGTGGAAGCCAAAAGAGAATAAATGTGGCATGTAGAAATCCATACACAGGTGAATTTTTTCAAGAAGGCAAGCCAAGCACAAATCTAGATAGTTCCCAATAAAGATCAACATTAAACAAAAACTAAAGAAGAAATTTGACAGGAAAATTATTCTATATGGAAGGTTTGAAATGTAAGACAAAATGAAAAACAAAACCATGGGTAAATCAAAATGAATAGAGAATGTACAAACAGTATTTACAGGGCTTAAGGATAACTAGAATGAGGATAAATGGCAAAAATGGCAGAGGCCAGAAGTGGTAGGTGAAGTTAAATGGTGTAAGGTGATGGTAATGGAAATGATTAACTTCAGACTTTGATAAATTAAAAATAATGCTTTTAGCTTCTAGGATAACTATTAGAAGAACAGAAACCCTTTATAAACTCCCAAACTACTAGAAAAAAGTGAAATTATAAAAAAAATACAATGGTAAGAAAGTAGAAATATGTAGGGAAGGTAAGTCATATTAAAAACGTGAGGTAAAAAAAATGATAGTTTTAACTAAAAATATAACAGTATTATAAGATTGTGTATGCACAAAAACTATCAGAGTAGATAAAAATTAAATGTATTATTTATAGGAGACATACATATGTAAATATATAAAAATAAATATACAGGGATGTTGACAGTACAAAGACAAAAGAAAAAGACATGCCAAGCAAATTAAAGCCAGCTGGCACTGCTATATTAACATAAAGGAAAGTAGAATTTAATGCAAAAAGCTTCAGCAGAGATAAAGAAAGTCACTTTATAATGAGAAAATGCTTAATTCAGCAGAAATACACAATTTAAATTTGTATACACCCAATACTAAAGCCACAAAAATACATAATACCAAAACCAGACAGAATTCCAAGGAACAGCGGACCAATTCACAACTGAACAACTGTTGTATTAGGCAGAGAAGTTGAAGACCAGGCCCAACCGTGCTGACCTACTGAACACACACGGGCGCCAGCAGCTGCCAGGGCAGGGCGTGAGCGCTCCACAAGGACACTCAGAACGTTCGGAAGATGGAGCGCGGCCCTGGACCCAGTCTGCGCAGTTCCGCAGACCTGAAACACGAGGGGAACGTTCTTTGACAACCACCAACTGAAGCAAACAGACATACGCAGGAAATTCAAACATGTCTGTAGATTAAGTAATCACCGTGGGTCAAAGAAGCAATCACAGTGAAAATTAAAAAACCTTCTGTCAAAAATACAACTATTAAAACTTTTGGAACGCAGCTAAAGTAGTGCTCGTATGGAAATTTATAGCTTCAACTGCACATCCAGAAAAAGGAAAAGAGAGCGGAAAACTAGTGAGTTAAGCATCTATCTTAAGCAGTAAAGGTAATAGAAGCTAACGGCGGGAGGAAGGAAGAAATACGTGCACCGACTGGCAGAGGCGGGGCTCCGCCCGGAACCGGAAGGCCCGTTCCCGCCGCTTCCGCCGTGACGCGGGGCTTTCTGAATGGACCCGAGTACTCCAGTGCAACTGACATGCTCTTTAAAAGCTGTAACTTTGCAAAACTGACTCAAGAAAAACATTTAAAAAACCTGAAATCAAGTTTTCTAACCGCTAAAGTCAACTGTTTAAATTATAAGAAATATATTTACACTACTAAAGAAATCAACTCTGCCCAACATTTTTACACAGCGAACAGTTCAGGCTCGCAAAGCACCCCCTCCCCCATGTAAATGCCCCCAAAATGCCTGCTTACGACTTAAACAAAACCTTCGAGAACCGAAAACAAGAGAGGACCCATCAGTGTCCTTCACGAGACTGGCAGGGTCTCGACAGGAACACGCGAGGAGGGGGTTCGCGCCTGTGCAGCCGCACCCACGCGCACGGAAGGCGAGAGTCGCCGCACAGCCAACCCGCCGCCAAAGCACAAGGGTCGGGCAGGACACTGGAAAGTCCACAAAGTCTGCTTATCACATTTAGATGTTACAGAATGAAAAACAGGAGATAAAGCAGTCATAAAACTACGATGTAAAAACAACTCGCAGCGAGACAAGGGAAGACTTGCCTGCGCAGCAGGGGCTACGGCCGGGCCCACGCCCGAGGGCAAGAGTCCGCCTGAAAAAGGCGCTGCGACACCGGAGGGAAACAGGACGCGAAAACTCCTTCCGGGGTAAGAGGCCACCGCATCGTGGGGTGGGCGGAAGGGCCCCTTACACGACGCAGAGTGACCCCTGGTCGCAAAACACCGCCCTCGAGAAATGGGAGGCTTGCTCCCACGAGCCCGCAGTGGCCGGGCGAGGTTCCGTATTCTGGACCACGGGTGTTCTGGACCACGGGACGACCGACCCGAGCCCTGCCCCGGCGCCCAGGTGCACCACAGTCCGGACGCGCGACGGGAGAAGCTGGGGGACGCGTCTGTGCCCTCCAGGCCATGCCGCTGCGCTTTCGCCCTCACAGCCACCTTACAGTGGCCCCAGGAGCGGCCGCCCGCAGCCACCCCTGCGAGTCACGTGCCGTCGGCCCCCACATCCCACGTGGGCGACCGCCCTCTGCGCACACCCGCCGGGGCCGCTGGGTGCGCTCACCAGGCTGGGCGGGCCCCGCTCGCACCCACTTCAACCGCCGCAGCGGCACCCGCTCGAGGCCTGACGGGAGGCCCCTCAGCGCGAGGGCGCCCTCCTCCAGGGGCGCCGTCAGGTTCTGGAGGGGACTCTGGCCCGTGTCGCCCACACTGCGACGGTCCACTCTGGGTGAACGGTGAATGGTGCGTGGGAGGCTCGGAGCGGAGCCCGGGGCGTCCAGGCGTGGCCGGTGGCGGGCTGGGCAGCGGTCAAGGACAAGGAGTCCGACCCCGAGACCCAGACACCCCGGCCAAGGCAGGGCTTTGTCACCCACGGGCTGCGCCCGAGCGTGAGAAACTCTGACCCCGCGTAGAGGAGGCAGTGTTCACAGCTGGGATGCGAATGGACTTACTGATTTATTTTTTAAAATATATTATTTATTTCCAGAGAGGAGAAAGGAGGGACAAAGAGAGGGACAGAAACATCGATGTGTGGCTGCCTCTCGTGTGCCCCTGCTGGGGACCTGCCTGCAACGCAGGCATGTGCCCTGACTGGGATCGAACCTACGACACTGTGGATCAAAGGCCGGCGCTCAATTCACGGAGCCAGACTAGCCGGGGCAAGAAAGGACTTGAAAGCAGGCAAAGGAGTGAAAACAAAAGAGACAAGGAGCTGCCCGCTCCAGGCCCGACGGGGCCCACATGTGCCGTGAAGAACCGACAGTCTGCCGTTGGCCATGTGTGACACAGATGATTCAGGGAATGTACATTCATGTTAGTTGGAAAAGCAAGAGTTAAATCTTGTCATATTTCACATGAAAGACAGTAAATTCTATCAGGTGACTCAAACATATTTTACTCTGTAAAGAGAAGTTTTTATAAAAACAGCTTCACTTTCTTAAATTTAAAAAGCCTTTTAGGAGTGTTAGGTCAGTAGAGGAAAAAGCACTTTCCAGAATTGTGCACTTTGCAAAACAAGAAAATATTTAAAAACCTATCTTTGGTTACACTGAAAAGCATGTTTAACAAATACTGGAATATATTATTCATCATACTTTATGGAAACTGTGCAAAGGGAAACAAACGTGGTTGAATCAAACCTGACCCTTCCCCCCGAGGCGGCCGCAGGCCCCTGGGCCCGGGAGTTCAGCGGGCGGCCTCCTCCGAGGAGGGAGCTTCCCGGTGGGGCGCCCCAGGCGCTCTGCAGCCGGGCGGCGACCACTCTCTGCTGAGTCTCTACAAGCTCAGGCGCACTAGATGTCACACTGTGGGCTGGAACACTAGATGGAGACAGACGTACAGACAGCCTGAAAAAGGGCGTGTATGCGCTGGTCTGCCTGTGTGGGCACCTGCGCACTTGTCCGTAGAAGCGTGTGCACACATCTGAGAGCCCCTGCAGGGTTCGTCAGGACTCAATGAGATGACACTCTGGCCTTCTGTTATTATTAGGTCTTGTCCAGTTTTTAGTATAAATGTATGTGTTTCAAATGTAAAACAATGAAAATTAGTTTTAGTTCTAAATGCTCATGCATTAACTGTCCTAACTGTAATACATTTTTAAAATTAATTTTTTTTGTAATCCTTTGTTAATTTGATAAAGGGAAAGGATCAACTCTCTTCACATTATCATTTCACTGAAGAAGGAAATTGGAGACAGTCCACAGAAATGAAGTATTTCACTCAGAAACTGCAAAGAGACGTGGACACTGCTTAATGGCTTCCACCAGCTGCAGGGAGGAAGGCCCTAGAGAAGAGGCACAGAGTTCTCCCCGGTCCTCTGCGTCGTGTGGTGACGCAGCCATGAAAGTGACCGCTCACGTGGCAGCCGGGTGAGAGCAGCGGCAGTGAAGAGAACCAAGACTGAAGAAAGGCCGTCTGCGCCGCAGAGACAGGTGCAGGAGACGCCAGCAGTTGAGGGAGAGGAAGGGTGTGCACATCGGTGAATGGCGCCCAGGGACGGCCAACAGCGCCATCGCCGTGATGCAGGGGAAGGAAGAGACTCAGCCGTGACACAGACAGACGCCGGTCTGTGGATAGAGACATGCTTCTGCCTCTGTGCCCAATACTTGCATATGGTTTTATTCCATTTTCTGTCACAGAAGATTGCTATTCTGGATTCATACTTCATGCATCATTTATTAGGGTTTAATTGCTCATTCATATGAAATTTCCAAACATATATTAAGGGTATCTTTTAAAAATATCTTCTGTGGAGATATTTTAAAATGGACAGACTTCGGGCCTGCGAACCAGACAATCGCGGTTCGATTCCCAGTCAGGGCACATACCAGGGTTGCAGGCAGGTTCCCTGCAGGCCAGTTCCCAGCAGGGGACGCACGAAAGGCAACCATACATTGATGTTTCTCTCCCTCTCTCCTTCCCTTCCCCTCTAAAGATAAATAAATAAAATCTTTACAAAAAAATAAATAAATAAAATGGACAGACTTATATACATTTATTGTAAATACTAGTCTTTGAATGAGAAACATCTGATATTACTCTATGTATCCCAATTTCAAGTGAGATGGGTTCTCATACTTAGAAGACGGCCTTACTCAGCATCTTACCTGACTTGACAGATATGTTACATGGGCTCTGAAATGCAGATGACTTGACCGTGTCGGCGACTGTGTGCAGACCCAAGGGCCCCAGAAACAAATGTCTATCAGCAGTCAACTACAACGACTGTATTAGATTCAGATTTATGTCTTGTATCTCCCAATTGTTGAAGATTATATTATCAATACATTTAGACAAGATAAAATACCAGACTTCTAGATTATTCTCACAAAACCGACTCCCACACACTGTTTTCTGTGGAAGGATTCCTAAGGATTCAGCAGCGCTCTTGACTCCTTCCTTCTGACCTTTGTGTGGACAATTTCTTTCATATTGAGAAACATATTTTCAAATTTTCACGAAATCACATTCAATTAAACTAGACATTTGTTTTACAGTAAGTCTTCAACCTACCTTATGGGGATGATGTAGGAGAAGAGGAGGAGGAACCGAAAAAGATTGCGATACCATGGCCCAGCGAAGCCTTGTAAGGTTACCATGACAACCGAGAGGGCGACCAGAGCCAGAAACAGCGCTTTGGTCAGCTGATTGAGTTCAACGTCCAACAAACCCACCTGAAAGGAAAACAGGGAATTAGGGCAGAAGCAGAACGTCCCTAACATGACACATCTGAACATGAGTGACGACATCTGTACAGTCTTTTGCAACAGTCCTCACTAGCATGAAAGGCAAAACTGTGCTAACTTCTGTTTTCTCCCAGGAAGCCTCTCAGACGGATGTAGGCAGAATTCCTGAGAACAAGTTATGCTCCCACAGCATGTGCAGGCAGGTGCCACCAGTCCGAGTGTCCAGCTGCAGAGACTCGGATGCTTCTCTGTGTGGTGATGTTGTGACAGCTCATGGGAACACACGAGACAGGAGACGATGGGCCTAGCAGACCTGGGGGCTTGGTTAGCTCTTGGAAAACGCAGACATACGTTTTCCCTGCACTGTTATGACAACTATCAAGGCTGTGTGTACCCTCCACCCCACGGATTTTCTTCAACTCAAGGTCCCCAAGAACAGGACAGGATGTCTGTCATCCCTGTCTGCCAAAAGCCTCTCTGCAAAGAACTCCTAATTAAGAAGAAAAGCAACGGACAGAGTATCTAGCCTGTAATGAGACACTTTGTATTGTGACTTGCACAAATGCTACACTTCAGAGTCTCCCAGTAAGGCACACCACACTCCTGTTCATTCTGTGGACTACTGACGAGCTGAGCAAGAGGTGCGTGAAAATTATGTCGATGAGAATCAGGTCATTTTTTGTTGTGTTCTGTGTAGAAGCAGCAACCCAAACACCTTTCACTCTACAACCCAAGGGGACACAGCACTTTTGAGAGGCACACCACCCATTTCGAGCTCTGGCGACGTCGATGAAGTGTCCCCCTCCGCTCAGTGTCGCCGTGGAAAGACCAGCGAGCAAGGCACTGTGCACGGAGGAGGGGCCTGAGTGTTGGAGAAGGTGCGCGGTCCAGGCAGAGGGACGAGGCAGGCCGGCTGGTGGCCCTGGCTGCACAGCTCCCTGGGGGGAGCAGGGGCCAGGTTTAAGCAGTGTCTTGCTAACAAGGACTTGGGTTCCATGACACGATGCGTCGCTCCAGGTAGAAGGTAAGCCTAGATACGTGTCATTATATCATCGTCATCACCATCCTCTTCATCGTTAAAGACGTGGATCTGAGTCTTGGCTTACACACCGTGTGACCCTGGGAACGTCCTTATACTCTTTGAGCCCCGTTTTCCTCATTGTAAGCTGGTACGACCTCGCTTACAGGGGCTCCCCAGGGTCTGCCAGGGGCACAGCCTGCACACAGCTGCTCACGCTGATCTGTCTGACCCAAGCAGAAGGCGGCACTCACATCAGGCCACCTGAATTTCTCCTGATTCTGGTACGAATTTTTAAAGAGAGTAATTAAAAAAAGAAAACATAACTGCCAAAACTTTGATTAAAAAAAGAGATTAAAAAATTTGAGAATTACTGAACTGTTGTTTTATTTTATAGTACTTTTTCAAATCCAGAACTTTGGCCAATAAAAAGCTAGCATCTTCCACATTTCATCTATCTAGTTTACGTATGTTTTGGATTAATATTTGCCACAAACTCTCATGGGGACATTAAACCTCTAGTTAGAGAGAAAACAAAACTTTGTCACATAATCCATTTAGTTGTGAAGAAAATTCATTACACAAATAAACGGAAATGTCTATATAATTTTGCTAAACTCAAAGGTCATGAAAAGTGAGTAAACTGTGAGATCTTACCCATAAGACACAGTCAGTCCAGCAGGAAAAACCAACATGAACACCCGTAAAAACACTGTCAAAAAGAATCACCAAACCGAAGGCTTCCTCCCTGACCGAGCTCACGGATTCGCTCTCCGGGAACTGCAGCCAGCACTGCCGCGGATCGGCACCTCGTGGCCTTTACACGTAGGGCAGAAACCATGGAAACGGACACGGGGACCCCACGTGACTGACGTTCGCCTACAGCGTGGGATCTGTTTCCCCTGGAGAGGCCCCATGCAGGTCTGGCAGCTGCTGGGACCTCCTCCGGTGGGTGTGGGTTTGTGCAGGCCGCACCCGAGCCCCCCACCCCTGCTCCCCGTGTGCTGCGGGACAGCAGAGGAAGCTCCAGGCCTGCGAGATGCGGTCTCCTACGTCACTTTGTGGGCAAACTCCTAACTCAGGGCACGAGGGAGCCGCACCACCGGGTCCCCCAGGCGCTTCTGTGGCCTCTCGGCGTGACAGCAGGTGAAGCCCTCCTCCCTCAGTGTCCAGCAGGGCCCCATGTCCTGCAGGAAGGCCCACTGCACTCTCTGGACCACCTGCTGGCAGCCGCCCCAGCGGGGACCCACGCACAGGTGCCCACAGCGGCAGAGGACCCCAGCCCACGGATCAGCTCTACTCACAAAGCAGAGTGGCAAGGACGAACACCTTGCAATTTCCGCCCCTTCAACTACTACATAGTTTATGCTTGAATTATGGAGAAAAATGGGGTTGTGGATTAAAATGAAGAAAAATTAAGGCAGAGGAGCAGAGCATGTTTCAAAGCCTGGCTCCTGCCGCTGTGACAAAGGCGGCCCAAGTCTCAGGCCCGCTGAGGGTCGGATGAAGTCATTATTCATTCAGTCAGGAAAAAAAGACTCAATTACCTCGACCTAAAGATGCTATCAATGAATGCAAAGTGCATATTTTGCTCTATTCATCCAAATCCCATTAAAAAGTGAAAGGAATGATTTAATCGGGCCTTCCAGAGTTGGTCTTCTTTTTGTAATAAAATAAAGAATCGCTGTCTTGCAAAACATATACCCACTACCTCACACTTTCCTGGCATCACAGCCATGAAAACGGGAAGTGCAGGGACAAAGCAGCCAGGACCAGGCAGAGTTCCCTCTGGAGATGCGCACACCGGCTGAAAGTCCAGAAGCAGTGGTGCGTGGACACGCAGACACGCCAGAGCGAGCACCTGTGCACTGACCGCCATGGGGGACACGCGGGGCCATGCAGAGCAAGACCCAGCTTCACCCTCCCGTGGTCCCTGCATCCCTGCGTGGAGCCTGTTCTGAACTGGGGTGGTTCTTCCTGGAATATAACCGCAACCAAACTATAGCACAACCTGTGGTCTTCATTTTTCTTGCCAATTCTAACAACACATACTAAAAAGAAGATACATTTCAACTCATATTTTTTAAAGTCAACTTTCAATTAATAGTTAATTGGTATACTCATTTCCCTAAAACATCTTTAAAAGTTTCTTCAAATTGTCTAAGATGCAATCTAGACTCTTGGAAACTATTCAGTATAAAAATTAGTGAACTTATAAAGTTATAGATTCTGTAAAGAAAGTGGTAACTTGGGTTTTCCTGTGAACCTCTTCTTTAAAATATTTCTTGGAACACTGAACAGACCAGATATCTTTTGTTATGACTGCAAAACCTTTCCACTCATAAAATATATTAATAATCACTTGAAGTAATTATGATTGTATAAGGAAAGGTAAATTAAGTACACTAGGAAGTAATTTTCAATATTTATTGTAATTTCTTAGTAAAGCAAATTATCTTCTACTTGTCATAATATTTGTTTTATCTGAAACAACTGTGATAACAAAATTAAACACGCTACTGGAAATTTTAATCTCTAAGGGAAGATTTGTGCATAATGTCTACGGCACGACAATGGTTCTGCGAAGGGGCTGTTCTAGGATAATGAACACAATAATTGCCTGTATAATCTAAAACGCTGCTAATGGCAGCGATCACAAATCCACTTAGCTCCTCTTTAATTTATGTACCAAGTTTTAAACAGCTAATGGTGCTCAGGAAAATAATGGTTTGCACCAACAATAAAGGGCAAATATGGTAATTCTCCTGCTTAATCGAGGAAAGGTCAGGCCAGCGTTGGGATGTGTGTGGGACAAACAAGACCCCGCCTTGAGTCTGGGACACGGCACCCACCCATCTCCGCTGAGCCTCGTCCTGCTGCCACGTCCCTGGGAGATCGGTGTGCACACCCCACTGGAACCGAGTCTCCTGTGATAAAACTTCCCAGAACTACTACCTGGGACAAAGGCATGCACACTACTAGCTGCTGATCCTACGGTATTAACATCATGCATATTAACGTGAACATCAACATACTTCTACCATTTTTAAAAACTCACACCTAACCTAATTGTTACATGAAAACATTTTAGAATAGCAAAATAATAAGATGCAAAATGTCAGAAAGCCAACTTAAACTCTTATAGAAAGCTGAGTATCATTTTGTCTTGTATTTTCCCTGTGAATACATTACAATTTGAAAACCAGAAAAGCCTCCAACCCAATAGCTAATTCACTCAAGAGGACTGCACACAGCAGAAGCACAGTGTTATAATGAAAGATGACTCAGGGGAAAATAACATCGTTGCTAAGGCTGTTTATCTTTCAGCAGGCGAGAGCTACTCTCAACCAGCGAGTCGGCTGCTGTCACGCAGAATTTGGACCGTGACTCCAGAACTGACACAGGGCTGCACTTGGACCCAACGGAAATTCCTACCCAAAGCACGCTCCTTTCACACACCTCTGAAGCAAATCAGCCTTATGTTTTCCACTTTACTGGAATATTAAACAACAATACAACAAAAATAAGTAATTTGAAGACCTTCAGATAACTCCTAAATCTTGTGGCAGCCACTTTTTCAAAATAAAAGTATTTTTTAAGTGATGCTAGATAGTCTTTCTTCCTCTTGAGTTCAGGCATCTACCCCTTTGGGATGCGAACCGCGCTAAGCGGTGGCGCCGCTGCGCCTGCAGGTGGCCACACTTGAGCTGAGCCTGAGCTGTGATCCTTTTGCACCTCCAGTGGCGTGCGAAATAGGCGTTGCTCTGAGCTGTGGGCCCAGTAAGTAACCTGTACTTTGAATGCTCCCCAATAAGTGCCGGTGTGACAGTTCTTAATGCTGCAATAAATCATCTCGATTTTTAAACATAAAAATCTATATTTACACAGCAAACATTTTAAAGTCTAATCTGAAGGATTTTGTACCTTACATTTTTACCTACCGATAAACTTTGCCAGACTATTCTACATC